TTTATTTATTTATTTATTTATTTATTTATATACAAGAAGGTACATTGGGTTAGAGAGAATACATAGCATAGTATTTACAATCTTGTAAAGCCACTAGTACGCGCAGCGTTCCGGGCAGGTCCTTAATCTAACAGATAATTTTAAGTAGGTAAATTCTAGCAGAATTAATAAAATGATAACAAATACATTGCAAGGAAAACAATGAGATGAGAGAGATTAGTAAGTATATTAAAGCAGATTGGTATATTAAAGCTCTGATTGATTACATTGACAGCTTGATTGGTAATTTAAACAAGATTAATAGACACCATACAGCAGATTGACAGCACATATAAGAAGACAGCAATGATCACAATGGTAAAGATGTTCAGATTGGGTACATAAAGATTGGGAGATTGGGTAGCAATAGATACAGTGCGATTTTAAAGCAACAAGGTAAAAAACTATGAAGATGAAATTAGGTACTTTGACGTTGGTGAAATTGTCCAAAGGAAAGGCAAACGTTTGGTTACAGCGCCTTCGCAAGCTCTACGACGCCTTGTGGTCCTCTGATAAACACTTGAGGGTCAAAACAGCTGTCTAGGTGGCGCAGTGGCGAGACACTGGCCCCGCGCTGTGCGAGTGATTTGGCCAGGGTTCGAATCCTGGCCAGGGTTCGTATCCTGGCCAGGGTTCGTATCCTGGCCAGGGTTCGTATCCTGGCCAGGGTTCGTATCCTGGCCAGGGTTCGTATCCTGGCCAGGGTTCGTATCCTGGCCAGGGTTCGAATCCTGGCCAGGGTTCGTATCCTGGCCAGGGTTCGTATCCTGGCCAGGGTTCGTATCCTGGTCAGGGTTCGTATCCTGGCCAGGGTTCGTATCCTGGCCAGGGAATGATTGACTACGCGCCAATCCTAAACTGCAGCCTCTGTTCACCCAGCAGTGAATGGGTACCTGGTTGTTAAACGATTTGTCAGGTCATATTCCGGGGAAAGTTAAGATTAAGGACCTGTCCGAAACCCTATGCTTTCTAGTGGCTGTACAAGAATGTAAGAACTATTGTATATATAAATAAAACAAAGACGAAGAACAAAAACATTTAACCTATTTTCCTTACTCCTGCTGCCTCTGTTCACCTAGCAGTTAATAGGTGTTGACCTAGCAGGTAACAGGTAGCCGGGAGTTAAAGTGTTGCGGGGCTGTATATTAGAGGTCAGCAGTTGACCTGAGGGGAGGCTCACCATGGGCCCAACAAGGTGCCTCGCCCCGACTATGGGAAACTAAACCAAATCTTATAAATTATTCAGACGATGAGTCACAATAACGGGGCTGAAGATGTGATAACTAAATCACTCACCAGAAGATGATGAGTCGAAGACGTTTCGGTCAGTCTTGGACCATTATCAAGTCGATTGTATAGACACTCGACTGTACAGTCATCGAAACGTGGTCGTCTCCTCATCTTCTGGTGAGTGGTTTAGTCTTTATAAATTAATAACTACTGCTTGCAAGCGTGATCATTATATACGCCGCCATTACCAAGACCGCGACCCTCGACCACTAATGAGTGCTTCCAGCAGTGCTGGCCACGTGATAAACAGGTTCTGACTGCAGGTTTCTCCTCCGCTTGTGGCAAGGTTACACACACCTTAGCGGATGACAGCGATATTAAGATTCATATCGTCCCCTACGGGTGAAGAAGTCCCAGCACAGCACCTGCCAGAAGCGGGTGCTGGGAGACACACCTGTAGTGACGAGTCCTGCTCTCATTAACAGCTTGTTCGACTCTTAACTATTTCTTGGGTGATTTCAGCCGCTCTTGTGTCTTCTGGTCATTCACAGGACTCTCGTTTTCGTTTCAATTTTTGTTTTGTTTACAATGGTAGGTTATCTTGAGATGATTTCGGGGCTTTTTAGTGTCCCCGCGGCCCGGTCCTCGACCAGGCCTCCACCCCCAGGAAGCAACCCGTGACAGCTGACTAACACCCAGGTGCCTATTTTACTGCTAGGTAACAGAGGCATAGGGTGAAAGAAACTCTGCCGGCGCCTGGGATCGAACCCAGGACCACAGGATCACAAATCCAGCGTGCTGTCCGCTCGGCCGACCGGCTCCTGCCGGAGCAGATGACTTACTCCTCCTATGACCAAACTTGCAGCTTTTCCCTCTCGCAGGTCATTCCCCTGTTGTAGATAGATGTTCCCCTGGGTAGATAGATGTTCCCCTGGGTAGATAGATGCGGCACCATTTGTTTAGTGGCCATGACGGGGACAGGAAGCCGGAAGATTGTCAATGGTCCCCCACGCTCCATTTGTGCTGATAATTTTAAGCCTTAGCCTACTAGTTTTCATTGAAGTATTACCAGGGAATCAGTTTGCAACAGGTCATCAATTACTCCTACCTTGAGGTGCTTCCGGGGCTCAGCGTTCCCGCGGCCCGGTCGTCGACCAGGGCTCCTGGGGTGAACAGGTGCCAAGAGTTATAGCTCTCAAAGTCATTTATGAATTGAAGACGATGAGGGGCCGTGATGGTGAGCCTCCGGGTGTATGGTGAGATAGTGAACTGGTTAAGTTCTGTCTGCTGAAGCTCCCGTCTCTCCTGTCAGGCTTCAGGCCAAAATAGCCGTCTGTCAGCCGTCTAATTATCACACAATAGTCTCAAAAGTATTGGGATCTGTGTAAGTATCGCCTGAGGTGTATAAAGGAAGGTCTCTCTCTCTCTCTCTCTCTCTCTCTCTCTCTCTCTCTCTCTCTCTCTCTCTCTCTCTCTCTCTCTCTCTCTCTCTCTCTCTCTCTCTCTCTCTCTCTCTCCAAAACAAAAGAGAGGCCTTTGTCCAGATTTCAGAAAGTTTGAGTGCGTGTTCATGTGTATAAGTGTGCCTGCGCATGAGTGTGCGCGCGAACGCATGAATGCGCGCCAAAACTGTAACAAACCCTAGGAACCCATAACCTGGCCCCTGGCGGTGAGAAGAGCAACTATCTCCGTGACTTCCTGGAGACGCCCTGCACATTATAGCAGGAGACGTCGACGGAGGAGGAGGTAGATAAGATGTCTCTCACGAGAGTTATGAAGCAAACCCCCCTACAGTCGTGACTCCCTCCTCCCTCTCCATCACTACCCACTACTGAAGCAAGCAGGACAAAACAAAGAGGAAGTATTAGCCGAAAGGTTATGGGTATAGAACTTTCTACTGACCTTTTCTGCGTGGGAGTGTTGAAGAGTTGAGTAACTGAGGGCGTAAGGGGGGACCTTTTGTTGGTGTCAACGTTCTCTTCCCCCTCATGTTTGGTCCTTTTCCGCTCATCCGTCCTCTCCATCTTTCCTGTCCTCGCTCCTTCCCATTCACCCTTCCTGTTCCATACACGTACTGTCAACATTGTGTAGTGTCCGACCCCTTCCTTGACTTTCAAGTCTATGTGGAGTTGCATATCCATTGATTGTACCACTACTCCTACCCGCCACGTCGTAGTCGTCACCACATAAACAAAAGTTCACCTGCCCGCCACCCCACAGACGTGGTACAAGACCTGCCGACGTGGTACAAGACCTGCCGACGTGGTACAAGACCTGCCGACGTGGTACAAGACCTGCCGACGTGGTACAAGACCTGCCGACGTGGTACAAGACCTGCCAACATGGTACAAGACCTGCCGACATGGTACAAGACCTGCCGACGAAGGTCTGCTGAACACCTGCAGAATAGTCTGGTGTTGACGACTCGTCGCTGTAAACGACCTCTGCCACACCGACGCAGTAAACAAGTCGTACAGCGTTAACGATATATGAAAAAAACTAAAAGTCTGAATTTACGACATAATATTTAACTTTATACACGTTGGGTCAATAAAGACCTTGACTTTTACACACTGAACAAATCCACAAGGAAGTTCGAACCTTCATCACGGCCCCTTGTGGATTTCTGTGTGTTTTATATACCGGTTTTTGTGACGTCTTTATTTGGTTAAAATGTTACTTGGGTTTCATTATGTTTCTCTCGACCTGTCTACGTGTTCAGGACCTGGCAGGTTGACTCCTTAAGGGAGGCCTCGAGCTGGGTATGACCCATGATAGGGAAGACCTACTCATGATAGGTAAGACCTACTCATGATAGGGAAGACCTGCTCATGATAGGGAAGACCTACTCATGATAGGGAAGACCTACTCATGATAGGGAAGATCTACTCATGATAGGGAAGACCTACTCATGATAGGGAAGACCTACTCATGATAGGTAAGACCTACTCATGATAGGGAAGACCTGCTCATGATAGGGAAGACCTACTCATGATAGGGAAGACCTACTCATGATAGGGAAGACCTACTCATGATAGGGAAGACCTACTCATGATAGGGAAGACCTACTCATGATAGGGAAGACCTATTCATGATAGGAACCTGTACATAGTGAACTTCATCTCGCTAGGTAGATTCCAGAAATTATATTCAATGACACAAATTTATATATATATATATATATATATATATATATATATATATATATATATATATATATATATATATATATATATATATATATATATATATATATATAATATAATATTGCAGGAATTTCATATAATTTGGGTAGAAACATTAGCTTAATGTATCTAAGTTCTTCATCAATATCATCAACAACAGGCGGCCCAGGAGCGGATCTAATAGTCTGTTGGTGTCGGTGAAACGCTTAGAAATACATTACAACTATGATGGTGATGCTCATCTGTTATTGGTTTGTCCTGACGTTTATTGCTAGTGATTTACAGCTTCCTTTGTTTTGCTGGTGTGTGTGTCTGGCCCTCAACCATACTGCCCTCTGGCCACACTAACCTCTCACCACACCTGCCACACTAACCTCTCACCACACCTGCCACACTAACCTCTCACCACACCTGCTACACTAACCTCTCACCACACCTGCCACACTAACCTCTGACCACACCTGCCACACTAACCTCTGACCACACCAGCCACACTAACCTCTCACCACACCAGCCACACTAACCTCTGCCCACACCTGTCCACAGGACTGCAGGTGTTGCCGCGAGACACACCTGAGAGCGAGAGACGTCACCCTGACGCACTGCTACGACGCTGACGGCAACAGGCTGACGGGTGAACGGGGCTCTCTGTCCATCAAACTCCGTGAGCCAGCAGACTGTCAGTGCTTCAAGTGTGGCGACTCCACCCGGTAGTCTCCGTGACCTTCCACCTGCCGTGACCTCTGCTTCGTGACCCAGCTGTCCTCACCAGTTCCCAGCCCCTCCTGGTGACCTGTCACTGTGACCTTTGACCTCCCTCACCGGTCACCTCGGGGCCCAGATTCACGAAGCAGTTACGCAAGCACTTACAAACTTGTCCATCTTTCCTCAATCTTTGGCGGCTTTGTTTACAATTATTAAACAGTAAATGAGCTCCGAAGCACCAGGAGGCTGTTTATAACAACAGTTGAATGGCAAGTTTTCATGCTTGTAAACTGTTTAATAAATGTAAACAAAGCCGTCAAAGATTGAGGAAAGATGTACACGCTCGTAAGTACTTGCGTAACTGCTTCGTGAATCTGGCCTCAGGTATTATCAGACAACTGGAATATGTACTTGTTATGTCTCATAGAGACTATTTCTCACACTTATTTTGTATCAAGATATATAGTATGTTGTATAGTTAAGATAGAATTGGATAGTTGGAAAGATTGGATAGTTTGATAGACGACGTGTTGCTGCCTCACACCTGTCACACACACACCTGCTGCCACCGCCACAATATGCGACCCCAACATGTATATGTGACAATATGTATCAGATGTATATATCCATGTGTTTAAGCGTTGTCTGAGCATTCGAAAACGGAGGAACTATAATGTATGTTTAAATGTTGTATGTAGTCAGTGTATTTCAACGATGTTTACATTGAGAGCTGGACTTAGGGAAATATATATAGTTATAATTAGAATTTATATTAATTAGGTAAGCACGTTTCAAGTTGGATGGAATGATCGTCAGACCCGAGTTGTATGTTGTTAGAATTCTTGTTGACGTGTTCAGGGTTTTCCTTGTTCCAAGAGCAGGGACAAGGGATTAATGTACCCTGACCAGCTCTCTACCACAGTCCTAGGAACCCTCCATGTGTGTGGGGGGGCGGCGGACCTCCCATATGTGTGTGTGGGGGCGGCGGACCTCCCATATGTGTGTGTGGGGGCGGCGGACCTCCCATATGTGTGTGTGGGGGCGGCGGACCTCCCATATGTGTGTGTGGGGGCGGCGGACCTCCCATATGTGTGTGGGGGCGGACCTGTGTACAGAGTCGATGGTGACATCCTACATATGTGGCCCTTGCTAGAAATAAACAATTAAGATTAGCGATGTGTTTCACTCGTGGCACCACCACCATGGGGCTGGTGCCACGTCCCTCCAGAAGGCTGAACAGTTCCTCCAGGTTGTACAGACTGGAGGGCCTCGTTGGCACCCACCAAACGAGGCTGAGAGGGCCAAGATGATGCCTACTTGTGGCACCTTCCTCTGTGTAACTCCTGCACATCTGGGTCTTGTGTTCTTTGTAAAAACATAATTTTTAAGCATAATGCATAATTTTATGCATAAAGCATAATAAAAAGCATAATTTCTTTGTAAAATCATAAAAAGCATGTTCTTTGCACTAGATACAGTGCGAGTTTAAAGCATTAGGAAGGAAACTATGAGGATGAAATTAGGTAATTTTTGGCTTTTGAATAAAGCGTAGGTTGGACAGCTTTTTAATTCGTTAGGGAGTGAGCTCCATAGACTAGGTCTCTTTATTTGCAATATAACTTAACCTAAGCAAGTTATTACAGTCTTGATAAGTTAGTTACAAAATTCAATGCACATCTTCGCATCAACAATAGGTTCGAGATCGACCTCAAGTACAGTTTCTAAATTAAGCAACTGACATATGTGGAGAGCTAGTGTCACAATTGATATGTTTGTCCTGCACACCGCCCCCCATCCAGTGGGCAGCGGTGGATAGGTTACAATCACTCAGTTACTACCTACAGTTAGCAAACTGGGGATATTTGGCAAAGACTTCCGGCAGCAGATCATTTTTTAATGAAAGATTTACAGAAAACGAATTTAACTTATCATAGACTGATATATTTACAAAAGCGACGGTGTTCAAAAAGTAAAACCCGTATTAAATAGTTATGACGGTACAACTTTAAGAAAAAAAGGTAGTTATTTAACTATAAATGTCTGGTGCGCCCCCTATTGGATTGTTATATCCAAGCATAGAGACCTCATCTTCAGAAAGACAGAAAGACTTTTCCATCTGCTTTGGAGAAAGCCAAATATCCCCAGTTTGCTAACTGTAGGTAGTAACTAAGTGATTGTAACCTATCCACCGCTGCCCACTGGATGGGGGGCGGTGTGCAGGACAAACATATCAATTGTGACACTAGCTCTCCACATATGTCAGTTGCTTAATTTAGAACCTGTACTTGAGGTCGATCTCGAACCCATTGTTGATGTGACGACTTATATTGAATTTTGTAACTAGCTCATCAAGATTGTAACTTGCTTAGCTAAATGAATTGTGGGGTTCAGTCCCTGAGCCCATTATGTGCCTCTGTAACCCTTTCCACTACCGCCCACAAGATGGGTATGGGGTGCATAATAAATGAACTAAACTAACTTTGGAAAAAGTCCAACACCGGACGATAATCAATCCAGAACTCAGATCGACTCTGATACCAGGAACGGTTGAGGGCCACAGGTCTAACAACACAACAAACCAGACATGACAGGGCGGATCTCACCTAAACTTTTAAAATATTTACCAATTCGGATGATATTGATCTTGACAACTTCAGATGTAACACGAACAAGGAGCAACAGTTTCAAGCTCATCAAGCCACAATGTAGGACAAAAAAACAGGAGATTGTTCACCCCACAAGTTTATAAACCCATGGAACCGCCTACCCGTCGAAGCCTTAAATTCCAAAACACTGCTGAATTTCAAACCCTAGCTCCAAAAAATTCTCAAAACAAATGGGGAGGACCGTTGACAAGCCGCCGACTTCCTGTCCTCGTCGAGGCCACTAGAGAGATAGTGGCCATCAGATAAGTTCGGGTAAATTAAGCACTCTATACCCAACCAATGGGCAGTAGTGGGAAAGGCTACAGAGGCATATAATATGGTCATAGGGACTGAATCCCAAAGTTCATTTAGCTAATCAAGTTACAGTCTTGATGAGGAAGTTACACAATTCAATGCACATCTTCACATCAACAATGGGTTCGAGACCGACTACAAGTACAGGTTCTAAATTAAGCAACTGACATATGTGGAGAGCTAGTGTCACAATTGATATGTTTGTCCTGCACACCGCCCTCCATCCAGTGGGCAGCGGTGAATAGGTTACAATCACTTAGTTACTACCTACAGTTAGCAAACTGGAGATAGTTGGCTAAAATTTTTGGTAGCAGATCATTTTGAATGAAATATTTGAACATCTTTTGAACATTTATTATAGAATTGCCTCTGAATTCACGTATCTTTTCACACTCCATCACATAGTGACGTGCAGGAATGTAAGAACATCGATATTACCGATATATATACTGTCATACCCCAATGTACCTTCTTGCTTATAAATAAATAAACAAATACATAAATAAGTAAATAAATAAATAAATAAATCTCATGTACCAAACATATATTGGGGAATTAATTGGAAAACGAGTCAATTAATTGTAAGAACCTTTAGCGACGTTTTAGTAAAGCGACGTAAGTACCGTGTCTGGAAATATTCCGAAACCTATGAGTGAAGCTTCGTTGGTGATACATCTTATACCAGATATTCCACCTGCTCTGGATATTTGTAACATTATAACACATGTTAAAAGCTTTAAAAGATTGTATTTAAAAATATATATAGTTAATTACTCAGCTTAAATTTACTGTAAAAGTATAAATACTGAAAAGAAAAAGGTTCAGGAGGCCGAGAGTTCGAGCAGCGTGTGAAGCTCCGAGCACCTGGAGGCCAGTCTGGTGTCTGCTACAGTCCTCCTCCTCCCGTCTCGCTGGCTTCTCTTACTTCAACATTACCCACAATGGCGAGTGTGGCGAGACTGGGGCGGGCTATCAGGGTACGAGAGAGACCTGGTATTGTTTAATTGTGTTTTGTCTTTTTTCAGTACGAGTGAGGCCGCCGGCTGGTCATCTCGTCACCAAATGTATCAAGTTCGGAGACATGTACACATTTCAGTGCAAGAAGCAAGGCAAATAGTTCGGTCTATACGGACTCCCATCTCAAAATATAAGTTTGCTTAGCGAAATGAATTATGAGGTTCAGTCCCAGAGCCCATTATGTGCCTATGTAACCCTTTCCACTACCGCCCTCAAGATGGGTATGGGGTGCATAATAAACGAACTAAACTAAAAAAATCTCAGCGCAAATACACAATGGTGTACAGTACTGTATTTGTTACACTAGTTGAGGTTAAATTGGGTAAGATTAGCCAAAGTTAGGTAAAGATTAAGTTCAGTTAGGTTTGGCCAGCTGTGTTAACAGTAGCTTCAAGTTGTGTCTTACCTCTACAAAGTCGTGTAGTTTGCTTCGTCATGTAGAGGGTAAAAACCTTCATGCTGCTTAATTGTTTCCCAGACCACTAATGACACATTATTGCTGTTAGAACTTGCAGCGGCACCTCTTATAAACTCTAATGTTTTATACTTTGTGGGAAAGACGTGAAATTAGTGCAGTGTAAGCAAAGGTATGGGCTCGGCAGGTTAATAACAAAAATGTCCTAATTCCATCATTTATGAAATGGTTGTTACAGACAAAAATGTTAATGGCCCTAAAAGTATTGTGTATAATAATGAAAATCAAAATATAAATTTTAAAACCTCTGATCTGAATATTTAACTCGAAAAGGTTGATATAAATTAATTTCTTATAAATTTATAGTCATAGAGTAAATACCCATAGACTTTGGGTAAACAAGTTTATATCAATAAGTGCTATACTCTTGACATTGTTTCTTTCTCTCTTATGACTCTTTCATATGACAATATGACTCTTTCATGATATTTATCCACAAATGTTCCCTCTATAAATTTGTTAAAATTAAGTTTAAGATCCATTTCTTGACAGCTGGAGGCACCAGTGCTGCGTTTGAGTCTTCAAGGATTTTGTTCAAAAGCCTCAAAACCTCCAAAGACAACAAAAGTAGTTGAGCCTCCAAAGGCTGCTGCTCCTAAAGCTGCCACTCCAAAAGATGTGACTCCAAAGACTTCTGCTCCTAAAGCTACCGCTCCAAAGGCTGCAGCTCCAAAGGCTGCAGCTCCAAAACCTACAGCTCCATTAGCTGCAGCAACAAAGGCTTCAAGCATTCCTAATTACGTTTCTGCAGCCACCCCCTCTGATCCTGGCCACCGTAAGTATGAATTAACTTTCCCTCCAAGGTGCCATGTCTCATGACTGGAAATAAATTTTAAAGTTCCATCCTTATCAACTATTTTGAGGCACTTTTCCTTGATAAAAGGAAACAAAGAAAAAGGATTTCCTTTCCTTTTCCTTTTAATGCACTCAAATAGTGCATTATTAGTAGTGTTTGTCATGTGGAGACGAGCATTGGTGTGTACAGTATAGCTTATTATCTGGATACACATGGATAAAATGGGGATTTTGGGGCTGTTTGAAGATAAGATGTTCATAAGTTACATGCTCCTAAGTTTGGGATCCCTGTACAGTAATTACAAAATTGTTATTTTTTAATGAATGGTGAAAAAATAGCCTAATTTTCATTACATGAAAACATCATTTAATTATGGCACATGGCTTGCCACTTTGTTTACATTCATTCACTTCCATGAATTAAAAGCACTTGGCGCTTCATGTGCTCAGAGTTATCTCCTGTACAGTGTATGCTCCTTAGTGCTTTCCTTGCACTCCTTGCTTGTGGTGGCACTTGCCCTGGGTAAGTCGGTTATCTTTGACTTTGTCTTTTCCTCGAGTTGGGAGGAAATGCAAGCCCTGGTGATTGGCTGGTGGAGCGCACTGGGGGTTTACGAGCTACACTCGGTCTGCAAGGTCGGCCTTCACAGTAGCAAGTGCCTGGCTGTGTTGGCTTACTTTTATCTCTGTTGATTAATAAAAAGAACCTATACAATAATATAGGTCCACTGTAGCATCCCAGTGCCTGGGCTTCCTGTAGAGTTACTACCCCCCTGCAGGCCCTGGAATTTCCCAGTGGGTTTAGTGGTCCTATGAATATTCCCCTTGAACCTGTTCTCGTTTCTTGCAAATATGAGGGTCGTGCATTGTCCGTGCCACATGAGGATGCTCATTCCTTCTGCCTCCACTATGTTGCCTGTTGTGTTGATGACACCTTCGACCCAGAGTCACGTGGGGCTTTTCAGGCAGCAACCACTTTGCATCTTAAGTATTATGTGTTGCAGTGGTCTAGGTTGTGTGCCCAGTTGGATGCACTGGAGCTGCCCCAGTTAGTGTTTAAGAACCTGGACTTGGAGATGTGGGTTAACTCAACCTAGGCTCTGTCTGCTCCTCCTCCTCCTCCCTCTTCAGGCATGGTTCGCCCTTCCTCTGATCCCACCATTCCTGCTTCCAGCCCTGAAGCATCTGAGAGTTTCAGGGTCGGAGCAGGGTTTAGCTCGGGATTTGGTTTGGTCGGCTCTGGGGTTTGCACTCTTCCAAAGTTCCATATATGGGGCCAACCCTACTTGTTATATATATCAATGACATAGATGAGAATATTACAAACCATATTATATAATTTACAGATAACATTTAATATGGTAAGTTAAGAAGCAAAAATGATTGAGACCTAATAGATAGATTTGCTTGAATTCCACAAATGGTCAAAAGACTGGCAAAACCTGTTTAATATAACAGTGCACATCAGAACTATCAAATCAACAACACTACCATGCAGCAGATTAATGAAGTAAAGGACCTTGGAGTCAGAATCCACCAGTCATTGAAAATTGCACAGTAAGTGGGAGCTGCAATAAAAAAAAATCCAACCAAATCTTAGAAATAGTCAGATGAACCTTTGGCTTCAAGGAGAGAGTGGTTATTGAACTGTACAAATCTCTGGTGCACTATTCAATTTCCCCATTTGGACTATTCAAGCATGGAAACCTCATCTTCTGAGGACTTATCTACTTTGGAGAAAGTCCAATGCAGAGTGACAAAAATCATCCTAGAACTAAGTACACTATCATACCAGGAATGGTTGAGGGCCACAGGGAAGGGAACTATCAGGAGAAAGCATCAAGCCGGGTGCTCCCTTTTCTGTCTTCTCCTTGGTTCGTGGTGGTCCCTTCGGTTCAAGATTGTTTTTCCAAGGCTCTCTTTCTGTTGGCATTGACCTCTGGGGGTCGGGTTCGTGAGCTTCATGCTCTCCTCTGGCGCAGGGGTTTCTGCTCTTTCGGTCCTGATGGTAGGTTTGTTCGGTTGCAGCCGTCTCCTTCTTTTCTGGCAAAGAATGAGACGGCTGCTTTCCGGAGGGATCCCTAGGTCATTGATGCTTGGTTGGTCAGGCCGGGGATGCACCATGTGTTGTTCGGTTGAGGATCTTCGCCAATAGCTGTGCGCCTCGGCTTCTGTGGCCGGGGATGTGCTTTAGGTTATCCGGTTTCCCTCATTCCCTGTTTCAGGGCTCGGGTCTCCTAGGTCGTCTGCAAGGTTATTAAGTCTAGCCAGCCTGCAGTCTATCCTCGTGCCCATGACGTTCGGAAGTTACTGCTTTGGCTGCCGTCTTCGGCAACATGTCTTCGACTGATATTCGGGCACGGTGATTTTGGAGGTCAAACAGGGTCCTGGGAGCCCCTTATTTGTCCAACATTCCTGGACCTGGGCGTTCGCGTGTGACTTTAGGTCGCAGGTTGCAGCCAGTTGTCTCGTCTTTGAGTTGACAGACACGTGGCGGACGCCTCCCCGGTATGTCCATCTTTTCTTGAGGTTATGTAGTTTCTTACCATAACCTTATCTTTGGTTATGTAGCTCCAGGGAACCGGAGGGGCTCCCCATAGAAAACCCAGCATTGAATGTAATGAAATGCCATTTTCTGGGTGAGCCCTGGATGCTCCCTGGCACCCTCCCTCCCTCTGGTCTGCGGTTTTTGCTTTTGTTTTAATGCTTGGCCTCTGAACCGAGGTTGGGTAGGTGGCGTGGTGAGTCTGGGGCTCCCCCCCCTCCCACTTTTCGGTTGCAATTTTCTTATGTGGGGTCTGTTTTGTTATGCCTACCTTTCTGGGTGCCAAACCCCAGTCGATGGCAGATAAGGAAAAACCCCAACCGCAAGGGGGGGCGGGTTTCCAGGGCCATTGCTCCCTGTGCCTCTTTGAGGGGGGGGCCAGGTTCTGGCTTGTGATCCCAGGTAGGCTGAACTCCTTTGACTAATGCCCTGGGGCCAGATTCATTAACCCTTGCACTGCTCACCTATTTTCGGCAAAAATGTCTTGGTGCAATTGTCAAGGACATATTTTTGTTATTTTTACAAATGTTCAGGTAAATTTAATGTCAAAATGTTTCCAAAGTCAACTATTTCCATTTCAAAACACAAATAGTAATAAAAACATTAAAAAACATTAAAATATAGCCAAATTAAAAAACAAAAAGCACAACTCTCTGAGCGCCTAAAGGCGCTTTGCGCAGTGCAGTGGTTAAGCAGTTATGCAAACACTTACGAACGTGTACATCTTTCCTCAATCTTTGACGGCTTTGGTTACATTTATTAAACAGTTTACAAACATGAAAACTTCCCAATCAACTGTTGTTATTGTTATAAACAGCCTCCTGGTGCTTCAGAGCTCATTAACTGTTTAATAATTATAAACAAAGCCACAAAAGATTGAGAAAAGATGTACAGGTTTGTAAGTGCTTGTGTAACTGCTTCATGAATCTGGCCCCTGGTCAAATGAATTGCATATTAGCCTGATAGCTCCAGGGAGCCTCTTGGGCTCACCCAGAAAATGGCATTTCATTACATTCAACGCTGTTTTTTTTTAATCTTTACATTTAAGCTGTCTCTTTATCAATCCAAATAAATGTATGGAGCAACACTTGACAAATGGAATTTAATGTGAATAAATGCCACATTATGGATTGTGGAATAGGAAAAAATAGACCACACACAACCTACAAATTATGTGGAAAAAGCTTTTAAAGAATTTTTATTAAGATATCTAGGGGTGGTTCTAGATAGAAAACTGTTACCTAACTACCACATAAAGAACATTGTGTGAGCCTACGCTACGCTTTCGAATTTCAGAATTGCCTTTAAATACATAAATCACGAAATACCAATACTAAAAACATTTTTTACGACCTTTTGTGAGACCAAAGCTGGAATATGCAGTGATTGTATGGTGCCCATATCTTAAAAAGCACATTGACAAACTGGGAAAGGTGCAAAATCATACAATTACATGGCTCTAGAATTGAAAGACAAAAACTACGAGGAGAGGTAGAGGCATTAATATGCCAAAGCTAGAAGATAGAGGGAGGGGGGGGGGGGGAAGAGGCAATATGCTCTAAACAAAATAGTAACGGGAATCAACAAAATTGATAAAGAAGAATTCTTGAGACCTGGAACATTAAGAGCAAAAGGGCATAGATTTAACCTCACTATACAAATCTGCCAAAAAAATATTGGAAAATTCACTATGGCAAACAGATTGGTAGACAGTTGGAACAAGTTAAGTGAGGAGGTGGTGGAGGCCAAGACCGTCAGTAGTTTCAATGAGTTATATGACAGAGTACTGGGAAGACGGGACACACAAGCGTAGCTCTCATCCTGTAACTACACAAATAATTACAAAATGACTGTAGAGCATTACAAACTTCCATGTTGTTGTTGCAGCTGTTGGGCCGGGAGCACTGAAGGGTGGAGACTACCCAAACACAGAGTATTACACGTATGAGAAGATGAGTTATTTTGACCTTGAAGTGGAGATGTCATCACACCGCATCCCACAACCTTCAGCTGACAATGGACAATTTTAAGCCAGCTACAAGATTAATTGAATTATGCTTGGAGTCATAATATGTTGCTCTGTATGTAAATAATATATAATACAATTTTTAGATCAATGTTTCATTATTCTTCAAAATATAGAATAAAATGTATATTATATACCAGTAGTAATTTATTTTGTTTTCAATCCTTTAAATACAGTATGTATAAAAGTAGAGCAAGCTGTATAAAGTGGCAGAAGTGTGCAATTCTCACATTCATATTACTGTATTGCTTTCAACATGATAATACAAATATTTGCACAGTGTAAATTAGAAGTTTACTTTGACTATTAATTTACTGTATAATTTTTTGTGTTAAAACAGAAATTTGGTATGTGTGTAATCCTTAATGATCTCTCACTCGGTTCTGTTCTGTTCTGTTCTGTTTGGTTCTGTTCTGTTTGGTTCTGTTCGGTTCTGTTCTGTTCGGTTCGGTTCACTTTGTCATGGCGAGGATGGGGGGGGAATTTGTGTGCTTTGCCCCAGTTTTGGAAATGGTTCAATGCAGTAGGTCTTCCTTTTGAAAAAGTAAGAAGCACTGGTTTGGAAGACACTTTCCTGCACCGGCTAGCACTTGGCCTCCCTCGCTTCCCTGGGTAGGTCGTCTCCCCTGGCTCGAAGGCCCAAATTTTGATAAATAGAATGTATATTGTAAACGAACACACTTTTTAACCACTGTACTGTGCAGAGCGCCCTAAGCCACTCTGAGAGTTGTGCTGATTTTTTTAATTAGGCTATATTTTAATGTTTTTAATGTTTTCATCGTTTTTTGTGTTTTGTAATGGAAATACGGTACTGTAGTTGTTTGGAAACATTTTGACATACTTTACCAGAACATTTATAAAAACAACAAAAATATGTCCTTGACAATTGCACTATGAAGTTTTTGTCGGAACCAGGTGCGCAATGCGGGGGTTAAACTCAGGCTCATGGGGTGGGTGACCTGGCCTCCGAGTTAGACTGTAATGGGTGATTGGGCTCTATAGCTTCAGCTACATTGGCCCTGGCTGCTTTGTCTTTGGTTCTCCCTGCTGATCATCTCCATATCTGCCATTTTATTTGTTGGGATGAATCCCAAATCCCCAGTAATACTGTAACTCCATTTTCACCTGAATGACTCAATCTTTAGATCTTTAGTTGTTATTACTGCACTTTTTGTCTTCTTTATTGGGGGACCACTGTGCTATCCTTGTAATCGAACATGGACATTTTCCTAGACTGCTGCTGTGTACCATGATCTGTTTTGTGCCACTCGGACTAAATATTTTGATGTCCTCAGGTCCTTGCTTGAAGGACCTCAAGGACAATATATGCTTGAAGTCCAAGGTTGTCCTATCCTCCAGGTTGATACATTTGTTCAGCCTCCTTGCAACTGTCATCATCAGTTCCTTTTAGTTTTTAAGACCACTTTTGATGGACCAACTTCCTATCTTCAGTAATTCTTGCTGATGTTGGATGCACCATCCAAGAATACTTCCTCTTTCTGCACCTTTGCAATAGATTCTTGAAATATGGACATGGAACCTTAGAGTGTAGTAGCAAGTTGTCCTTTTGCCCCTTGTGTTGTGCCTCTGGCCATTTTAGGTCAGGCTTTTCTCCCTGTGTTCACTGTATCAACTATTGTGATGCCCACCCGTCCTTTTCCCCATTTATGCACTATAAATTAAAACACGCTGTTCTCAACTTGAAACATCAAGTGTATATATATCTTTACCTGAGGCTAGGTACCAGGTCCAACATCTTTCCTCACATGCACTGCATCACACTTCTCTACCCCACTCTTCTTTCCTTTCTTAGTACAGTATCACCTAACATTTCTGTACCTTATAACCTGACACTTCCACTAGCTCCCCCTTCTCTCACTCCTCTGCAACCTGAAGCTGAGGGTGTTCCTCTGGTTTCTCCAACTCATGTTTCCACCATTCCGTCCCAGCCTTCCCCTATCCTCTGTTTTTGTCACTCCTCTATCTCCTACTCTCCTTTATCTGCTGTGAACCCCTCCTCCTTGCAGTTCCATCTTCCATCTAACCCATCTCTTCTGTCTTTTGGTCCTTCCTGACCTATGACTTGGCCAATGTCCACCCTCCTCCCGATCGTCCTTGTCACACCCGCTCCTATTCTCACTCCCAGCCTGAAACAGTGAAGTCTGTCTCACAGTACAGTCCCTTGAAACCACCACACCTGTCTCTCCATCAAAAATATAAACCTAGTTCCTTTCTCTCTCCCTTCTTCCTTGAAGGAAAAGGACCTCAGTTCTCACCCTGGTTACCTTCCCCAACCTTGTTCCTGCATCTCCTCCTGTCTCTGTAGTTTAGTCAGCTGAGTTTGCTATGGCTGCCTTATTCTAAAGCAAACTGCCATTTCCGTCCTTAACCCCACTCCCTCGATTGCTCCTCGGCAGCTTCTTTCTCACCTACCTTAACTTTGGGTTACCTTGTGATGGTTTCATGGATTATCATCCCTGTGGCTGAGTCTTTGACCAGGCCTCCTTGTTGCTGGACTGGTCAACCAGGCTGTTGGCTGTATGGGTCACAGCCTGGTTGATCAGGTATCCTTAGGAGGTGTTTATCGAGTTCTCTCTCGAACACTGTGAGGGGTCAGCCAGTTATGCCCCTTATGTGTAATGGAAGCGTATTGAACAGTCTCGGGCCTCTGATGTTGATAAGAGTTCTCTCTCTCTCAAGAGTACCTATTACACCTCTGCTTTTCAACAGCGGTATTCTGCACATCCTGCCATGCCGTCTGGTCTCATGTGATGTTATTTCTGTGTGCAGGTTTGGGACCGTCCCCTCTTATTTTCCAACAGATGCCAATACAACAACAAAAGGACATAAGGGAAGTGATACCATAGGTACAGTATTGGATTCACCAAGGATTTTATTGAGGGACAAGGGGACCTGAGAAACATTAGGAAAGTAAGACATGATCATATTGAAAATCAAGACATTCTACAAGGAGGACCAAACCTAAACGGGAGAGTACAGTTCAGACAATAAGCAGCAGATAATTGCTCTATTAAATGCTCAGGAGTAAAGCACATATAGCCGATACAAAACCTTCTCAGGAACCTACACAACCTACTCAGGAGCCGTTTGCCAAAATCTGTTAGTAGCAGGAGGTATTCCAAGGTGATAAGTTACCTTTAACCCCTGGGATAACTTAACACTTGAATTTCCATGACAACCTCTCAGTGCACATGAAAGAATAAATTCTTAATTTTTTTTGCTAGTATCACACAGTATACACGTTATATATATATAACATGTTTATGCACCATTATGAACGACAAAGCAGCTCTGGTGACCCTGATAATCTTGTAACCATTGATCCAAGGTCAGCCTAGCCCCACACATTTTGCACGGAGTTGTAAGTACACGCATTGAATAGTTTTATAGTTTCTTCATATTTTTACTGTTTTTACTGTGTTTTATCAAGTGCAATGATGCATTGGACTGCCAATAATGTTGTTTATGTTGTAGGGAGCCGGTCGGCCGAGCAGACAGCACGCTGGACTTGTGATCCTGTGGTCCTGGGTTCGATCCCAGGCGCCGGCGAGAAACAATGGGCAGAGTTTCTTTCACCCTATGCCCCTGTTACCTAGCAGTAAAATAGGTACCTGGGTGTTAGTCAGCTGTCACGGGCTGCTTCCTGGGGGTGGAGGCCTGGTCGAGGACCGGGCCGCGGGGACACTAAAAAAAAAAAAGAAAAAAAAAAGCCCCGAAATCATCTCAACATAACCTCAAGGTCTCAAGATACAGTATGTTATAGAACATGTATAACATTGGCATGCAGAGATATATTTGTGTAACTAATATGTGCCCCACAATATAATAGTAGAACAATAAAACATACTGTTTCTGGAGGAAGACCTCTGGTGGCTCCCTGAAGTTGTCTTGCTGAGACTGCTCCTTACTAAAAGGTTACATCAGTCACATAAGTTCTGTTTGGCCTACCAGGGAACCAGAGCCCAATTCTGGTCCCTCTCAGAGGTAATACGGAGTGAATGACAATCTGCCATCCCACCAGAAATTCAGCAAAGCCCTACAAACTACTGGAAGGCTCACAAAAAAAAGAAGATTCAAAACTGCCAGATAACTCTACAAATGATTCACATGGTACAAGGAACTCTCTTAAACTAGCTTGAAACTTGTTAGTACCAAATATTGCCACCAGGCAGTACCAATTATCACCCTACCACTGAGTCTGGGCGGCCTGCTGAGTCACAAAACTAAGCCAGAGATGAGGCATCTGTGAATACTGTGAGTAATGGGGGAGGATGGCATCATAGTACTGAACCGCAAAAACCCAAAGGGAAAGCTGGCAAAAAAACAAAAAAAAACTGACAAATTGACAAATGGCAAAATTATAAACCCTTCAGTCCTGGGCATGGCAAAATGGAAGGTACCGGAGAAATTGATACTGTACAATGCTTGGACCCAAACCTTCCCCAGAGGAAAGACAATGTAGGCAAAGTTCAGGATCCCACACAACCACTATAACATCTGAGGAGTCACCCAGGGACCACTCTTAACACCAGACGGTAAGGCTACAGGAGGACCAAAGCAGCCAGAGGTAGAGACAGAGAAACTGACAGTCTCAGACAAGGCCCAGTCAGGTCAAAAGCTGGGATGGGACCAACTGGGGCTTCCTTCACTTCACAAGGAAACAGAACCTGGTGAGCTGGGAGATCAAGATTGACATAATGACATATATAATGGCTGGGGGGCCCGCAGCACGTAGTTGTCAAGGTAGGCCAACAGACAAACCCTAACATATGAAGATGGGCTACCACGACCTACAATGACCTGGTAAACACACAGGAAACCACATTCAAGCTGAAGGGATGAACCCTGAAGCCCTACAACAAAACCTTGCCAGTCCCTGAACCCACAATTTACCTAGATTTACCTGAGGGCAACCATCTGGTGACCTTGGAGACATGAAACCATTGACTTGTCAAAGGGCCATCCCCACCCCACCCCCCCATTTTTGCTGAAAAAATTTCTAACTAGATTTTGAACGGCAGCAATGTCTTGGCAGTTGATGGGTTTATAACTGTATTGGTGTTAAAACATCTGGGTTCTTTCAAGCAAGAATTTGACATTACACTTAATACTAAAGCTTCCATACAGAAAGCTTTAAAGGGGAGAAGAGATACACAGAATGACAAGCTGTGTGAAGAACTCGACAAGAGATTCCAGGAGGTCTTCACAATAGAACAAGGAGAAGTCCCTGCACTAAATGAAGAGGCAAACCAAGCAACCTTGGAGGAATTTGACCTCACCAGTGATAAAGTCAAAAGAAATCTTTTGGAGCTGAATGTGACAAAGGCTGTTGGGCCTGAAAGAATCTCACCGTTGATACTAAAAGAAGGTGCAGAGGCACTAAGTGTGCCACTCTGAATGGTGTATAACAGGTTACTGGAAAGCTGGAAGACAGCTAATGTAGTCGCATTATACAAAAAAGGGTGACAGGCAAGAGGTGAAGGAGAAGATTGTGAGGAAAAGCTCGTAGAGCATCTGGAGGGAAATAGCTTTGTAACACAACCAGCATGGGTTCAGAGATGGAAAATTGCGCCTCACAGGTTTAATAGAATTCTATGACTAAGCAACACCAATTAGGCAAGAAAGAGAAGGGTGGGCAGACTGCATTTTCTTGGACTGTCGGAAAGCTGTTGACCCAGTACCCCACAAAAAGGCTGTTATAAAAGTTCGAACAACAGGCAGGAAAAAAAGGTAAGGTGCTCCAGTGGATAAGAGAGTATCTAAGCAACAGGAAACAGCCAGTAACTGTGAGGGGAAAGAGACCAGTGGCGAGATGTCATCAGCGGGGTTCCACAGGGCTCTGTACTTGGACCCATCCTGTTTCTAATATATGTAAATGACCTTCCAGAGGGTATAGACTCATTCCTCTCAATGTTTGCTGATGATGCAAAAATTATGAGAAGAATCAAGACAGATGAAGATAGAGACTACAGGATGACCTGGACAAACTGGTGGAATGGTGTAGAAAATGGCTACTAAAGTTCAACTCAGGAAAGTGTAAAGTAATGAAATTAGGCAAAAGGAGCAGAAGACTGAACACAATGTACCATCTGGGAGGTGATATTCTGCAAGAGTCAAATAGAGAGAAAGATCTGGGGGTTGATATCACACCGAACCTGACCCCAGAGGCCCAAATCAAAAGGACATCATCAGCATCATATGCATGACTGGCCAACATAAGAACTGCCTTTAGAAACTTGTGTAAGGAATCGTTCAGGATCTTCTATACCACTTATGTAAGACCAATCCTGGAGTATGCAACTCTAGCCTGGAGTCCATACCTAGTTAAACACAAGAAGTAGTTAAGAGAAGATTCAGATGTGTGCCACCAGACTAGTCCTGGAACTGAGAGGTATGAGCTACGAGGAAAGGCTAAGGGAGCTGAACCTCACATCCCTGGTAAACAGAAGAGTAAGGGGAGACATCCACCTACAAAATTCTCAGGAGAATTGACAGGGTAGACAAAGACGAACTCTTCAGCACGGGTGGGACACAAACAAGGGGACACAGGTGGAAACTTAGTACCCAGATACATTAGAAATAATTTTGTCAGAGTAGTTAACTGCTTAATGCATTCCATTTGTTATGTGGTGGAGGCTGACTCCATACACAGTTTCAAGTGTAGATATGATAAGAGCCCAGTAGGCTCAGGAATCCGTACACCAGTTGATTGTTGGTTGAGGCAGGACCAAAGAGCCAAAGTTCAATCCCTGCAAACACAACTAGGTGAGCACAGGTCTAGATACTTGCTTTTTAAAAAGTGTTCAGTTTAACTTTAAATGGAGCTCATAGCACTTGGATGTGAAATGTCTAAAATGCATTCTGTGGCTTATGCTCATTTAAATATGGTATGTAGTTAGAAATGAACATGGATAAATTCATATTTAAAATTGTTTCTGGAAAAGGACACTTCTTTCTTTTAGCTGTACATAAGTTGTGCTCCAAACTGGAAATTGGAAATTATCCAGAAAATATTTATTGGGGTTAAATAAAAGAAATTTAAGACTGTATTAGTATATTTTGTCTTACTATTATTACAAGGTGTAAATCTTTAAGATTTATTGAACCATATTGTGTTGCTACTTTGGTAAACCCTATCACAGAGCCGTGACACATCACAGCATGCAACAAACTTGACAAGAATTGCTGACAAAAATATTCATTACGAGTAATTGCAGCAGTTTCCTTCATTCTTAATCACCAATGACTGAAAACTTACATGTATAAAGTATGCCGCAGATTTATAACTGGTGAATGTAACACACTTCTGAGAAAAAACTAACCATCATTTGAAGCATTTCTTTATGCCATAATATTTGTGTGGAATTCTACAGAAGTTAGTGCATCATGTGTGAAAATTGTTAACCAAAGCAATACTTGTGATTGTTGCACGACAGTACAATGAAAAATATTTCAGAAGGTATAAGGGTCAACATTTTCGACCAAATAATTTCATGCATGCTACGTAGTTAAACTAAATATAAATAATGCACCACTAAAGCAAATGCTAAATTTTTACCTCAAAGTTCTAAAACCAGATTATTGTGTCATTAGACCTATCAGTTAAGTAGATTTTTTAATAAAGGTCAATTATACAAAACAAAAAATGTGACATGTATTTATAAAATCAAATTCCAGGGTCGAGGAGCATCATAATTATCAGTAAAAGGTGCCAAGCCTGGACGAATATTTGCACTTTTACCAGGGAAGGGAATTAATTATCAGAGGAAAGTGCCAAACCATTATGACTATATAGGACTTGCAAGGGGTCAGGATGGAATTCATGTCTTAGTGCTATATAATTTTATTCAAGTATAGTAGTGTATTTATTTTATATCCAATTATTGTAGCACAAGTGAGCTAGTTCACCAGGCAGATATTCCAGTTTAAATAACAATTGACAGCTATTGTTTTTATAATTAACAATACATTAATTTATAAATTTCCTAAAAATCTAATTATGTACAAATCTCTGATAGACATAGTGCATGTACTGTGATGTTTTGGTTAACTATTTTATGTTAGCTTTTTTTAATGGCATAAGAAACTGAATACAGTAAATGAAAACTGGTTTAATTTTCAATTTATATCCGTCCCCTCCAGAGCCGCACACTGCAGCACCCTCTTCCCTCTACTTGTGCCGTCAGTTTAGAAGTCTCTGGACAGATCTACACAAGAGCATCACTTGTGAGTAGACAGCTACATCGCCTACAACCAATAATTACCCTAACAACCCCTGGACATGTGCAATATCTTAAAGACAAAATCTAAATATATATAAAACTTTAATAGGCTAGGTTGATGACACTAGCAGGTCAAGAATACAAAACTAAGTTTTGCCAAATGATGGACAGACAGATTCCCAGCCAAAACAATTTGAACTGTCTATATCAGTTTAAGATACAAAATGAGCACAAAAAAAGCTGTGACACCAATCAAGAGAAAATATAATTTCTAATTCACTATTAAAACTTTAAATATCCACAAAATATTTTCCATAATTACTGGCCTACTAATCTAAATTGAATAGTTTTCAAACATCATTTAACATTCTTAATCTAAAATGCATCGACCCATAACCTCTTACAGAGGGACAGTTTGCCATGTAGATGAATTAGATAATGTTGAACTTACTCCTCCTTACCTTGTAATCACAAAATATATCTAGTATACTGTACTTGGGTATGCAGGTTAGTAATATAATATGATAGTCTACACTAAGTACTATGAAACCTTAGTTCATGTACAGCTTGGGTTACCATTTTGGCTGCATCACTCTAGGATCATATTCAGAATCAAGAAAAAACCCTATTCAAAAGACAATTAAATTACATGAATCGTTCGGCCTTCCACGAGAGTTGCTACACTAAATATTATATTACCGATAATTGGTATACAGTACCTGTACTGTTGTTGCAAATAAAATATTACCTTTATTTTATTCCAGAGTAATATTTTTATTTGCTGGCCATTTTAATATCTATGAAGACAACTACAGTACAGTATTGCTGTAAGTGGATAAAAATTACAATAAGAATGACAGCACATGATAATAAAAGCCATACTGTTATAAGATCATGTATTTAAAAACAGGCTGACCAGTAGGCAGTGAAAATGTTCAGAAGTACAGTATATTTTTGTGTTAGTGTTGTTCTTTGTGTCACATGCCACTATAAAACAGGGTGACCCACATGATCTACCTCTAAAGACCCATCACAATTCTGTGAACGCTCGTCACTATGTGCCGCTGTCCTCATATTCCTTCACACATCTCAGCGCGACTCCTCTTTATCACACAACTCAACAAAACAAGCACCTCGCCTCCAAATGAAAACAATTTTATGCACTAAATAAAATACAACTGAATGCTAGAAATTTTCAGTCTAAAGAAATATATAAAATATAACAAAGATTAACTGAAAATTATACTATATTATTTGCCTTGAAATTTTGGATCTTTGTTATTTAGTACAGCAATACATAAAATTTACAGGAACAGTCTAGATTATATCTAATTCAATAAAATGCTAAACTTTTGCTCATTAGATCAATATCTAAGTTCTATAGTTGTATCCTTATACTATTCCATTACGTATACAAACAGTAATTTATGCTTATACCACAATAAGCATAAAACTAATAAAAAGAAGTTAAAGACCGTTTTCTATGATTATCTGTGGGTGTATAGAGTTTCAAACATGCACATGGTACACTGTACATGTACACGCGTGTGTGTTCATCAAGCGACGCACACATGTACGCACATGCAAGTAAAGCCCCTTACTTTATGGATACAAGTGAGCTTCATGAAAATATATTTCTTGTTATAGTTTCTTAAAGCTATAAACCTTTTGCATCAAAGTAGACATATTCACGGTGGTTATTGCATGTTATAAGCCATCTATCGTATATTTGGTTTGATAAAAAAAGACTACAAAATTAAGAAATAATCTTAACTATATAGTCATTGATGCTACACAATTTATAATGTTAAAACAAAACATTCAGTGTAATACCAAATATCTTCCAGTTATAAATAACTGGAGTAATTAAAATAATTGGTAAATCAGACTTTATATTGCTTTTGACACCTGACTTTTGTAACTTAGTGCATACTTCACAATCTGATGCAGCCTCTCCCACTAAATACTAAAGTGTAGTATGTAGGTTGCCTCCACCACTGCTGCTGCTGCTGTTCACCATCGTGTGATCACACCTACACACACACACACACACTAAAATAAGCATGAAGTATGCCAGTATAAAACCATATAATCAGGCCAATATAAACTATTACATGAAAATTTATGGACAATTTAAGACTATTACAGTTCTGTAACAGCCTGCTGTAACTTCAAAAAATTAATAAATGATTTAGTTTTACATGAGAGTACACTTCACTATGCATATAAAAAATCCCAAATGAATATATTTTGCTGTCTACAGTGCAGACTTTAGTTCTTTGTCACACATTACAACCAGGGAGCAACCCTGTTATGACCCTTGATATGCACATCAAGGCAATAATCAAGTACACAACAACCTACCAAACTGCCTTAATCAATCTCCAAGAGGCGCGCTGCTCTGAACTGTGGACCCCAGGGACCTGACGGATCATCCAAAGGGTTGGTGTCGTCCGGACCATCTTCGGCAAAGTGGGCATGGACGTGCTCTTCAAAGCTGTTGAAAAAAAATATATATATATTTATATACAAGGTTAACTAAATTCTTGCTCAAAGCCAGTGATGCTTCTATAAATGTAAATGCAAGCTGACCACCAAGGAAGGAAACCTTGGCCTGTGGTTAGAATGAAATACAAAGCAAGGGCACACATACAGTGGGGGACATCAAACACAACTGTGAATCATAAAGGAAACGTTAATGTAGTAACGTCCCCAGCAGAGCCAATGATGCATAGATAGCCAACACCACTTGGCTGAAAGTATGAAGTACAGGACGAGCCCTGTTAGAAGTTCTGTACCTATCACTGACTACGGGGAAGTGAGATATAACTATTTAAGCCCCACTTCCTAGTCATTCGTACTTGTTGACCTAATTACCTCACATTTTTATCACTTTAATAAAAAAAAAAGAGTTGTGGTTTGAATTGGCATCAACAACCTCTTCCTTCAATGCATTCCACTTGTCAACCACCCATACAGGGAATAAGCAATTCCTTACATCTCTCTTTGACTCAAATGCATCCAGCTTTCACTGATGTCCCATTGTACTACCCCCTTTTTAACTTAAATAAGCTTCTTTTATCCACTTTACCTTTCCCATCAAGATCTTCTATGTAGTTATCAATTTTAGTACTAATCTACTGAAGTTGCAAACCTCTGAACTTTCTCAAGTTTCTGTTTATGCTCCACAAGTTGCGGGTTCCATGCTTGTTTGGCATACTCAATTAATGGTATCACATAAGTAGTGTATGAACTAGAAAGCCTCCTTGTTTAGATATTTAACCCCTCAACTGCACGACATGGTCAGGGATGTTTCAGGCTATGACATAAGATTCAACACTCCTGCAGATACATGGAGTGCTTCCTCAGGCCTCCGATACAGATGCCATTTTGGAAAAAATCGTGGGCACCCTCCTGGGTGTGAGGGTCCCAGTACTGAGAGGGCAACCATCAGCAACACGTGCATCAGCAGCTCTCACCACTGGCATGAGGATCATGCCCACACTATCATTTAATAATGATGAAATAAGTAATTGCAATTGCTTTATGAAGATAATCATAGAAGATCTCAACTGATACAGTCCATAGACAAGCTTCAGATATCAGCCAACTAAATGCTAGTTACAATCTTCACAGCAGGAGGCAGACATCCACAGCACAAACCCACAGTCTGGCGTGTCTACACATCACAAAACAGAACCTCATGTTCCATTAGAAAATAAACTTGTGGAAAATCATTCATATACAGGATTTAATGAAGAGGATTCTAATAATAATAAGTGTTGTGGTTTGAGTTAGCAATGTGTGTAGTATATTGGGAGGCATTTTGCTATGTCAAGTGCTGTAGGCAAGTGACCAGCATGTGGTGCTATGCTGTGCTTGGAATATGAGATTGCTACACCCCACCAAAACTGCTTAGTAGTTCGCAATGGTGCCCAAAAAACCAGCGTTGAATGTAATGAAACGCCATTTTCTGGGTGAGTCCCGGAGGCTCCCCGGAGCTATCCCAGGCTGATATGCTAATGTCAGACTTTGGCATCAGTCATGTGTATGGAGTTCTTAGGCCTACCGGGGACCACGGCCAGAACCGGGCCCCCTCAGAGAGGCAAGGGGAGCAATGGCCTATAGAAGCCCCCGTGTAGTTGGAAGCATTCTATGTCTGCCATCGACCGGAACAGGCACCCAGAAAGGTAAGCGCCCCAAAACAAACCCCTATTCTGGTTAAAATTGCTACCTAAAACCGAACTAGTGGATAGAACTCCCCAACCGAAAACAAGCAAACTAGTGTGACGTCACACACTGCCGTGCCGCTGTCTGCGCAGCTCCCCCCTCCCCGGGAGGGGGAAGGGGGAGCCCCAGACCCCCCGCGCCGGCTACCCACACCTCAGTTCTTGAGGCTGGATGTCAAAAATGCGAAAAACCGCCGACCGGAGGGAGGGAGGGATGCCGGGGAGCCTCCGGGACTCACCCAGAAAATGGCGTTTCATTACATTCAACGCTGGTTTTCTGGGGGGAGCCCCGTCGGCTCCCCGGAGCTAACTACCCACAGACAGAAAAAGAGGGACTTACCCGGGAGGCGGTCGTCGCTCACCCCTCAACTCGAAGCCGAGACAACTGGCTGCAACCGCCGACCCAAAGCAACACAGGCCCGACGAGGCCCAGGGACATACACAAGGTAACGAGCAGCCAGGACCCTGTTCGACCGCCAAAATCCCCGCGCCCGAATATCAGACCAAGACATATTCCCAAAGACGGCAGCGAACTTACGAACGTCATGGGCACGGGGACAGACCGCAGGCTGGCTGGACCTAATAACCCTGCGGACGACCTGAGAGACCCGAACCCGCGAACAGGGAAGAAGGGAAACCGGATCAACCCACAGCGCGTCCCCGGACACAGAAGCTGTGGCGCGCAAATAACGGCGAAGCGCCGCAACCGGACACAAAACATGATGCACCCCCGGCCTGACCAACCAAGCATCAACCACCCATGGACCCCTCCGGAACGCAGCAGTCTCATTCTTCGCCAGAAAAGAAGGAGACGGCTGCAAACGAACAAAACTATCACCACGACCAAAAGAGTAGAAACCCCTGCGCCGGAGGAGAGCATGAAGCTCCCCTACCCGACCCCCAGAGGCCAAAGCCAACAAGAAAAGTGCCTTGGAAAAACAATCCTGGACCAAAGGGGCCACAACGAAATGAGGAGATGAAAGGAAAGCGAGCACTCTGTCCAAAGACCAGGACGGCTCAGGCGACGCATGAGCAGGCCGGAGGTGAAACAATGCACGAGACAGCTTGCGAAACGGCGCAGACGTAACATCGATACCGAAAGCAAGCTGAAGCGGCTCCGCCAGCGCCGCACGATACGAAGCGACAGTGTTAGGCATAAGATGACGGTCCTGAAACAACCACGAGAGGAAGGACAAGACCACCCGAACAGACAAGGAGCTAACACGACGAAGACGCAAAAAGAAACGGAAGGACCGCCAGGAAACTTCATACTGCCGCCGAGAAGAAGCCCTCAGGTGGGACACCAACAAGGAGGCCACCTGATCACCATAGAGATGATGATAGACTCGAGTCAAAAAAACCATACGCGAAGACTCGAGGAGAAGGGGCCTCGTAGCCTGGTGGATAGCGCGCAGGACTCGTGATTCTGTGACGCGGGTTCGATTCCCACACGAGGCAGAAACAAACGGGCAAAGTTTCTTTCACCCTGAATGTCCCTGTTACCTAGCAGTAAATAGGTACCTGGGTGTTAGTCAGCTGTCACGGGCTGCTTCCTGGGGGTGGAGGCCTGGTCGAGGACCGGGCCGCGGGGACACTAAAGCCCCGAAATCATCTCAAGATAACTCAAGATCGAACCAGCTACATGACGTACCGGCCCGATCTGCTGAAAGAGGCGGAGCTGCGGGAAAACCCTCGGGTTCGGACACCGAGCAACCAGCGCCTGAAACCAAGGCTGCGCCGGCCACCAAGGGGCCAGAAGGACAACTCTCCCCCGGTAAGTCTCTAAGCGAGTCAGGACCTGGAGCAACCGGGGGAAAGAGGTACAGGAACCCCCACCTCGACCAGTCTAGCCGAAAGGCATCGACCCCGACGGCCTCGCAATCGGGGAAGGGCGCCGCATAAACGGGAAGACGCCGCGACCATGCCGACGCGAAGAGGTCCACTTCGGGGCGCCCGAACGTCTGGCAAAGCCAACGGAAGGACTCGTCGTCGACCGTCCACTCCGTGGAGAGGGGAACGAAGCGAGACAGGGCGTCAGCCAAGACGTTGGACACGCCCCGGACGTGAACCGCCAGGAGAGCCAAACCCCGTCCCGGCGGGTAGACCACCATCGCGAAGTTCAGGCTCCCGCACAACCCCTCGAGCAACCGCCAGGTGACCCGAGGGCCCTCCAGAAACAGATGAAGGCGGGACCGCAGCCGCAGGAGAGACTCCGGAGGGAGAGACAAAGAGGCGGTTCGAGAGTCCCACACGAGACCCAGCCAAGTCCGAACCTGAGAGGGAACCAGATGGGACTTCCTCCAGTTCACCAAGAACCCGAACTCGGCGAGCTGGGAAAGAACCAAATCCCTGGCTAGCAAGCAAGCTGACTGGCTGGGAGCCCAACCCAGCCAGTCGTCGAGGTAGGCCAACACCCGAACACCTAGGAGACGCAAACGAGCCACCACAACCCGTGTAAGGCGTGTGAACACGCGAGGTGCCAGGTTCAACCCGAACGGGAGACAACGAAAGCGGTAACTCAGACGCCCCACTACAAAACCGAGCCAGTCCCTGAACCGCGGACGAATCGGGACATGCCAATAAGTGTCCCGGAGGTCCAGGGACACCATCCAAGCTCCCGGCTCCAAGAGGAGCCGAACCTGAGACAGCGTAGTCATCCGAAAGGAGGGGCAATGAACCCAGGGGCTCAGACGGGACAAGCCCAGAATGAACCGCAGGTCCGCGCAGTCCCTTTTCGGAACCGGAAACAGACGGGAAACCCATCTGAGGGACGACGTCGTTTCGACGACGCCCAAGCGTACCCACTCCAAGACGACTCGACAGAGCGCAGGGGAAGAAGCCTGCCCTGCCAGCCCCGACCCCCCAAAGGGGGGAGGGGCCACCCAACACCACCGCAGGCCGCGAGACACGACCCGAAAAGCCCACGAATCGTGGGACCAGGCGCGGGCGAACAGCGCAAGCCGCCCCCCCACCGCCCCGTCAAGGGGGCAAACCGCGAAAGGGCCGGCGACCCTTACGAGACCCAGAACCCCGCACAGCGCAAACACCGCGCCGACCAGACGAGGGAGGGTCCGCAGGAGGAGCCAACCCCAAACCTGACACCAGAGGCCTACCACGACGAGAGGAACCCTGAGCCCTGGCACGACCTTTCCGGGAAGACCCACCCCGGGACCCCCGGAAAACCAACAAGTCCGACATCGGACGACAAGCCGCCGACGCAGCCTGAATAAACTGCGCCACGGCCGACTCCCCAAACAGGAGAGGACAAAAAGGTGAGGAACGCCTAAGAGCCAGAGCCCAAGCAGATTCCACGGAGGAACCCAGCACCGCCTGCCGACACGCGAGACGGGAAGCATAGAACAGGGAAACCGCATCCCGCAAAATCGGCGTGAACAGCTTCAACAAGGCAGCCGACGAACGCGCAGCCTAAGACAAGGTGCCGGACCCCGGGACGGACCCAAGCGTCCCCACATCCTCCACGAGCCAATCCGAAGACAGCTCCAGGAGGGAAAAGAACCGCAAGGCCGAACACAAAAGGCCCCGGGCGCGCAAGTCCTCCGCCACGAGCGCCGCCGAAAGGCAGGAAACCTGCACATGGAGCTGAATAACGCCCACATCGCGGGGAAGGGCAGGGGCAAACAAGCACTCATTCAGGTACTCAAGTTCACCCCCCAGGAAAACCTGAAGCACCGTGGAAGCTTCCCGCCACTCCAGCGTGCGGGAACGACAGAAGGAATGCCAGGAATCCAGACCAAACAAGGGGCAGTCTGCTAGCCAGGACGACTCCGGAACCTCATAACGGAGCCAGAAAGGGAACGAAGTCCCAAACCTGAACGTGGACAGATCCATTTCCGAGGCATAATCCGGGTCACGCAGGAGGTAAGCTGCAAAGGCCGCTCGCACCACACCAGGTTGGATGCGATAAGCCGAAAACCTCCGGAAGGACGGAACCGACGTACCCGGGGGAACACTGAACCGAACCCGGGGAGGGGCCGACACCAAATCCAACTCGTACGCAGAGGGGGGGAAAAGAAAACCCCACTCCTTGTAACAATAAGCCCCGCTCAGTGGGAAGAAAAACCCAGGCGGGGTCCAGCGGGGCCCAAGGCCCCCAAGTCAGCCCCTCCCCAGCCTCGAGGTCCGTCACCACAGGACCCGAGGCCGAGTCCTCTCCCCAAGCCCCGACCCCACAAGACAAGGACGGAGCAGCCGGAAAAGCTGGAGGAAGGGGGGCCCACTGGTCAGACCCTGAAGCTTTGGCCGGGAGACAAGACTCGAATGCCTCTGCCGCCCCCCCGGAAGGGGCAACCCCCGAAGCTGCCCGAGTCTCGAGATCAAGTAACCCCTGCTCCGACCCCGAAACCCTCAGACGCTTCGGGGCCGGAAGCAGGGGCGGGGGACCAGAACGAACAGAAGGGGAAGGACGAGGAGGTGCGGACTGAACCAGGATCGAAGCGACCCCCACCCCCAAGTCCGGGTCTCGAAAAGCAAAGCGGGGCAGCCCCGGGGCATCCGGGGAAGCAACCAACCGAGCGCGTTGCAACAGACGAAACCTAGACTGCAACGCACGTGCCGCCCGTACCCGAATAGAATCATCAGAGGATTGGGTAAATTGAGTCACAAGCAAGCAGCAACACTCACAGGACTCAGGGTCGAAAGTATCACCGACCCAACAGGCAGCGTGGCAGAGGCAAAAACAATGAGGGTCAGGGTCACCCTGAGACAAGGGGACCGAGCAACCCTCAAACTCGCACACAGCGAGTGGGGACTCCGGGGTCACATCCATCGGACCCACGCGCCCCCTAGGGGATTCCCAGGGTCCTGAGCGTTTACTTTAAGAGGACTCGCGCTCAGGTAGTCCCAGGCAGGGTGCTGCAAACCGGCGCCCAAAACTACCAAGCAAAGTTCTAAAGCTGAACCCCAGGGACGTGTACACTCACGGGGACCTAGCAGGGGGCGCCACTGAGGAGAACAGTGGAAGGGCAAAAACAAACTGAATAAAATGACAGAACCCCCCACCAGGCAAAAACAAAAAGAAAACAAAACCCCGCAAGAGGACAGCGAACCCCAAGGAACAGAGCCGGCCGCGATGTCGGGAATTACAAGCTGAGCAGCACCCTGCGCCCCTACCAGTGCAAACTGCCTCTTACCTGCCGGTAACAAGGGAGAACAGAACACCCAAGAGCCCAACAGGCGGCCGAAAAACCGAAAGGTAAAACGGACCAGCAGAGGCAGACCCCGAGGAGCCTGTGGAAGGTGGCCCCAAGCCCCAAGGGCAGTACTTACAGGGCACCTAGGGAAGGCAGCCCTAGGCGCATGCAGCCCGAGTACTGAAGATAACTCCTGGCTCTCGCACCCACAAAACTAACACCACACTCAAAGCACAGTGCAGTAGCGACACCGGAGCCAGAGCACACGACCATCGCCTATAGCATCAGCCTCAAGAACTGAGGTGTGGGTAGCCGGTGCGGGGGGTCTGGGGCTCCCCCTTCCCCCTCCCGGGGAGGGGGGAGCTGCGCAGACAGCGGCACGGCAGTGTGTAACGTCACACTAGTTTGCTTGTTTTCGGTTGGGGAGTTCTATCCACTAGTTCGGTTTTAGGTAGCAATTTTAACCAGAATAGGGGTTTGTTTTGGGGCGCTTACCTTTCTGGGTGCCTGTTCCGGTCGATGGCAGACATAGAATGCTTCCAACTACACGGGGGCTTCTATAGGCCATTGCTCCCCTTGCCTCTCTGAGGGGGCCCGGTTCTGGCCGTGGTCCCCGGTAGGCCTAAGAACTCCATACACATGACTGATGCCAAAGTCTGACATTAGCATATCAGCCTGGGATAGCTCCGGGGAGCCGACGGGGCTCCCCCCAGAAATGTAGTTATATATAACATGAATATATATATATACAGCGGATAAAAACCCACACTTATGTATGTGTGCACGTATGCAAGATTGACCTGAAAGCCATGGACGTCGATCTTGCTACGTGGGAAACACTGGCTGCAGATCAATCAGCCTGGGGGCAGTCTGTTCAGAAGGGTCTCTCCAAGTTCGAGGAGTCACTTGCCAAGAAATCAGAGGCAAAGAGACAGAGAAGGATAACCAGTAGCCAGGAAGGCAGACCAGAATCAGACTTCATTTGTGCTCAGCGTGGGATGGACTGCCATTCTGGGATCGGCCTCATCAGTCACACTAGACGCTGCACCAGCATTGACAACCAGCGCCAACTCCATAGTCTCCCGAGATTGAAGGATGACTACTAGATATAAGCAGCGTAATTTTTAGCATAGTTCCACACATTTAATTATATAAATTCCTTAATTACACATTATTGAATAATATTACTGCAAAAAACAGACATTCAAAGTCATTGAAATAATGATATAAAGATTTATTTGCAGCATCCCCCACCACACTGCCGGGCTGGAGCACACTGACACTGCCTCGTCCTCTCACAGCTAATGAATATTGTCACACTTCCTCGTCCCATTACGGCCAAAGTATGTCACATACAACATTTTTTGTTAGTTTTTTGTAATCAGAGAATGTATTTTAACAATATAAGAAAGAAAAATAAGGAGGGGGGGGGAGATCATTTATTTTTCAGTGCCTCGAGAGCCTGTCATATGTTATAGTTGCACACTACAGTAGTTAAGGGCTAAGGAACACATTTGGGACAAACTTCGTGTTAACAAGAGACTAACATCATTAACTCAGGATCAAGAGTGATCATGGCTCATAGATTGGACTCAGGTGTATTTATACCACAAACACACTACAGTATTAAAATCATTATCCTATAAAATTATTAATGAAAAAAGTAGCAACTAAGCATCTAAACCCAAATGATTTTCCTTCATATTGTGCAACACAGGTGTATGGAATTGTTAAAAGAATTTTCCTACATATTTCCATACACAGTATTCAATCACAATGGAAAATCAGATCATCATCATATCAAAGAATAATTACAAACCATTACTCAGTGTCATACTGGACTTCATTAAAATTAGACTACTATTTTTGTACAGAGAATATCAACCACCTTTAAAACCCAAAACCAAGAAAATAAGGACTGACCGTTTTTGGTTGTTTCGTTGGAAAGCCGTCGAGCACACTGGACAAACATGCTCCAGGTGAGAGTTGATGTGCTCCTCCAGCAGGCTCATGGCTTCCGGTTGAAATGAAAGGCTGCACATTGGACACTGAATCAAGTGACTGAGGAAATAAAAGGGTAAGGTTAATGCAAGCTGTTGTGTTAGCAAAATTAATATTTCATACATAAAAGACGTTCTTTACCAGCTGTACGTGATTTATGTTTACAGACATTAATTCCACCTTAACAAAGTATTAATATATAATTAAAGTGCACCTTTGCTCCTGGTGAGTGGGAAGGGTCACAGAGTCATCATTGTCACTGGTGCTGTGGAAGTCATCATCATCAGACTCGTGGCCCTGATTTCCAGGCAGCTGCTGAGCAGGGAACTGGCTCATTACAGCTGCCTGAATGGCTGTTGGGGTCGTCTCTGGCTGTAGTGGAGGCGGAAGAAAAGAACCAGGCATTGGTTGAGCTGTAGGAATATGTGGTGGTGACATCACTAGTGAGGCACCAGTGACAGGGTTGTTCACTAGCATGGCTGAAGCACCGTTAGCACCCGACTGGCTACATGGCAGGTAAGGATAGATGGAGGGAGTTGGAGATGGGGCCGATGGCCGAACAGAAGCACCATTAGCTTCGTGGTGTACACTGGGGACTTGTCTGTCATTCTCAGGAAGAAAGACTGGTGCTGTTCGCTGAGCTGGCAAAAAGCTGTTGCTGTACAGAACTTGTGTCTCATCTGTGCTGTTTTGAACTGTTGGTGTTGCATCTTCCTCCTGAGCTTCAGGTGAATTGTTCTGCAGCTGTTCTTCATGTACTGACTCACTTTGTTCTTCGTCTACTTGTGATTGTATAACTACCTCTTGTGTTTCTGATGCAGGTTGTGACTCCAGTGGCTGTATCACATCAAGGACAACCCTCTCAGGATATGACTCCTGTTCCTCTTGACGTGCCTGCAACTGCAGCTTAAGAGAATTAATCTGAAGAGAAAGTTCCCGTACTATATCTTCCATTTTGCGATGAACCACTTCACTTAACTGCTGGGTTGTATGGGAGCAACTAGTGCAAGACGTTCCAGTTAGTACTGTGGAACACGACTGGACCATAGCCGGAGGAGGTACACCTGCCTCATAACTACAAGCAGCCACTTCCAAGTCATCTGCATCATTATCTCCATCATCATCCACATGGAACCATGCACTAACTTGTGATGATACAGAAGACGTCATCGCTGACTGCTTCTGAAAAGAAATAAAACGTATTGCTTTTTTTGTGTGCATGTGTGTGTCCATGAAACAAAAATCTTAGCACTTTCTTTCTTTCTTTCTTTCTTAGCCCTACAAAGATGTTTAACATTTTGCAATGTTTTCCAGTGGCTACCTGAACATCACTGAATCACAAACGTGCTAAATAGAAAAAACTGTAGAAAGAATTAATTTACCTAAAACAATTAGTATATAGAAATTAATATGCTTGTGTGCATGCATAAACCAGGTACACATTTATTTATTTCAATTTGCACCAGCCTGCTGGGATGGGACTATTTTAGTAGAGGATTGTTATCACCTCCGCTTTGTAACCTGATCATACCTGCCACAGGAATGCTTATTACTCAGGCCTATTACATTTACTACCCTCAAGGTAATAAGATGGCTTAATCAATATCTTGTACTCACAAACAGAATTATCAACTATATACAGAACAAAATTTATATTGAACTTAACTTAACCAGACATCTGCCCACCAGGCCACCCCACGAGCTTCTAATGCTCCGCCGGCCTGGCCACCACCATCTGCCTCTTACTAGGGATGCCGAACCATTAATAATATTCTTAATTATCATACTAATTACAAACGTATTCGTTCTCAAACAGGCACAATCACACTAACATAATGTTTCACACATTCTAATAATATAACTAAAAACATTCTTAAATAATTTAAATAATAGATTTACTTCTAAAAGGAGACAACATCTGGTAACACAACACCCGATCAATACTCGCCCAACTATCCACAGTCGTACAGGTATAAGACACGAACATATCCTGTCTACTCTACAGCCAAGCCATGACTCATACATCATACAGTATATATACACCAACATACAATACTACTGTATTATACATTCTAATATATCACCAAATGCATAATTTATATCACCACTACTAATGTACAGTGGTACCTCGGTTTAAGAATTTAATCCATTCCTGGGAAGTTAATTTCCCCATAAGAAATAATGGGAAATGAATTAATCTGTTCCTGACTACCCCACAAACCGCACTTCAAACTAAATTTTATACCCAATTCATCTAAATAAACCTACAAAACTATGTTCCAGTTATTACTTACCTTGCTGATGACTGCTGTTGGCATATGGAGTACATGAGTACACCCAAATCCTTTACATTGCCTTTGGATTCTATATTATGATTTGACTGCGTTTTGTATGTGGTTTCCGTTTTTACATTTTCATTTTTTCCGTAGTGCATGAGCTGAAACTTATCCTCGTTAAACACCATATTATTTTCTGTAGCCCATAGAAAGACCCGATTTACATCTGATTGAAGGTTTGCCGTGTCCTCTATATTGTCTACTCTCATAAAAATCCTAGTGTCATCTGCAAAGAATGATAGGTTGTGTCCTTGTCTATGTCCGATATGAGGATGAGAAAAAGTACTGGAGCAAGCACAGTACCCTGGGGAACTGAGCTCTTCACAGTTGATGGACCGGATTTAATTTTGTTGACTATTACACATTGGGTTCTATTAATCAGAAAATTGTAGATCCATCATAGATCAGTCCAGCGACCAGACCTCCTGGTTGCTGGACTGATCAACCAGGCTGTTAGACGCGGCTGCTCGCAGCCTGATGTATGAGTCACAGCCTGGTTGATCAGGATACCTGATCAACCAGGCTGTAACTCATACGTCAGGCTGCGAGCAGCCGCGTCTAACAGCCTGGTTGATCAGTCCAGCAACCAGGAGGCCTGGTCAACGACCGGGTCGCGGGGACGCTAAGCTCCGGAAGCACCTCAAGGTAAGGTATCTGCCTATTTTTCTGGTAATTCCTTTTGAACACATTTTATGTGCAATAACACCATGGTCACATTTGTCGAAGGCTTTTGCAAAATCTGTGTAAATTACATCAGCATTTTGTTTGTCTTCCATGGCATCTAATGCCATGTTAAAGTGGTCCAGCAACTGTGATAGGCAAGAGCGCCCTGTTCTGAAACCATGTTGTCCGGGGTTATGGAGATGCTGGAATTCCATGTGTTTTGTGATCTTACTTCTTAGCACTCTCTGAAAGATTTTTGTGTGTGAGGTTAGTGCTACTGGTCTGCAATTTTTTGCCTCTTGCCTTTTTTCCTCCTTTATGGAGTGGTGCTATCTCTGCTGTTTTAAATGTCAGGGATAATGCCAGTATCTAGGCTTTGTCTCCAAAGAATGTGAAGGGCCTGCGATAGCATTTCTTTACAGTTCTTGATGAATATAGAGTTCCAAGAATCAGGGCCTGGTGCAGAGTGCACAGGCATATTGTCTATGTCTTCTTCTAAATCCAGTAGGGATTTTGGCACCCAGGTGTGTGGGAGCACAGACCCACTTTTGACTGAAGAGTAAATTTTATTTATTGAAACAATACTGAAGAAGTATTAACTAAATCCAGTTGAGGAGCTCATAACTACAAATTGTGTATACTGCATCTGGGCCCAGTGTATATATATATATATAACTACACACTGCACCCAATATGGTTTAGTAATATACTTACATCATTCTCTCCTTGAGAGTTCATGGACTGACGGAGCTTCTTAATTTTCTTGGCAAGACGCTTGTTGGTGATAGCTATGGTCTGATACTCAGCCTTGGCAGCCTGAAGGCGACTACTCAGGTCACTAGCAATCTTCTCGGCAGCTTCTCGTCCACTCTGATCTCTCTCCTGAATAACAATAACATGAGGGGTATAACATTTTTCCTTAGATGAAATAGTTTGATGTAAATCATGCAAATGGAAAAATTGCATGAATGTCACACTAGCTTCAAGAATAAGCATCATGGACCTAACTCCTCCAGCTTCAGTGAACTAGTGTAAAATAAGTTCACAAAGTGTCAAGGATGTGAAGACGACTGTATTCCCATCTGTCCAATATTGACTCTTGCAATACTAATTACTTACAGACACCAAGAGGCCCACCTGGTCCTAAGAGAAAACAAGAATCAGGCACTCTCTGGTGCTTAATTAAGACTCTGGTACCGCAGACACAAGTGCCACCCAGCCTATAGACTCACGCAATCCCTACTGGAGACCAAGATCAGAATCTGGTTTGCTCACTGGGAAAAGGGAGCCTGGGGCTCAGATAATGAACAAAGACCATGAAAACACACCCAGAAAGGACAGGCGAAGTGAAACAAACAACTAATCTAAATAGGAAAATCTAATACAACAAGGCAAATAATAGTTGGATATGAGTAAGCACTTCCAATGTCACTTCACCCACTCACCACTAGATGGCAGCCTCGTTCACCTGAGGGTTCAACCAGACATTATCATCACTCGCTGCCCAAAACACAGCCAATTCCCATGGGAAAGAAAAGAACAATGGATGGAGCCAAAAAGCCACAGTAGGTCATCCAGAGAGAAGCATTTCATAACATTCAGAGCTTGATTTCTATGCTGGCCCCCCCTCTCCCGAGAACATACATATACTGTACTGCAATTAAAACAACAAAAAGCAGAAAAAGAGCCTATCCATAATGCCAGAAGCCACAAGACCTGGGAGAACAAGCATACCAGGATGACATCACCTACACAACACAAATACAGTGAGGATGCAGTACCGTACAGTGAACAGAAAATAAGCAAGCAACACTGTTAAGAGTGCCTAAATCTCAGAGTCTGTATATCAGCAAAGCAAGCTGTAATCCTTGGTTAAATATTCTGCCACAGTGCTTACCACAGTACAGTCCGTTAAAGCACATGTAAATGTAAACATGATACAATGAATCTCTCTCTCTCTCTCTCTCTCTCTCTCCACAAAATTAAGGTGAATTCTGAATTGAGTCTGCCAAGGCTCAAGATATTTACTAAAAAACTCTGAAATACTATTGATTTTTGGAGAGAAACTTTATAAATACATGGAGTGGGATCAAATTTATATTCTACTGACATGTACTGAAGGAATGAGCATTACTTTTTCACCAACTTCCTTAATTTCAAAGCAATAAAAATTAAAACATACCTGAACATTTTCCAATAATTCAATCTTTTCCTTAAGCTGACAAATAGTAGCCTTGAGCTGGTGATTATCTTGGTTAACAACAGCTTCACGTTCTTCATGAATGTGTTTTTGTTCCTCGGCATCTACAAGTTTCTTCTCAACATCCTTCAGCTTATCCTTTGTGCTCGTCTTAATACAATGAAATGCATGCATTAAGCAAATTAGTGACATGTATTAGGCAAATTAATCACACAGAGTTATGCTAATTATTGACATTTATTAGGCCAATTAACCCTTGGGCTACGTGCCTATTATTCCCTAATCCCCCCAATGGTGTGCAGGATAAAATATATAAGTGCTTAGTCATGAGTCAGTTGAGAATTGTTATTGTCAATTGCTGTATTGCTTTATCAGCACTAATTTGTTCTTTTTATTTACAAATGTTATGACAGCTATCATAATGCTGCAGATTTTAATAAAATGTTGAAATTTCCACTGCAATTGAAACTTAGTACAAACAAGAGTGATATATGCTGCTTCATGGCATGACCAAGCAGCCGCAATCAGCTGATTGGCGAGAGATGTTACTGTCTATTATCTGCACGGCAATTTGCTTTTTTTATAAGGAAGATGTCATACTGGGGTCATCATAATGGTGAATATTGTAATAAAAAGTAAGAATACATTTCCATTTGAGTGAAATTTGACAACACACGCAGTGCAGCTGCTCCATCGGTCAACTGGCGTCACACATTGGGTAGTTAACAGGTGGAATGCATTAGGCAGTGATGTGCTGGAAGCCGACTCCATACACAGTTTCAAATGTTGATATGATAAGAGCCCAATAGGCTCAGGAATCTGTACACCAGTTGATTGACAGTTGAGAGACGGGACAAAAGAGCCAGAGCTCAACCTTCACAAGCACAACTAGGTGAGTACAACTAGATGATTATGTGGCAAGTGTAATGTGTTGCAGTGGAGAAGAGAGGAAGCCACCTCTTCCCCCTCATTCTAACAGCCCTCCGCCTTCACCAGTGTTTGGAAAATGTTGGAGCAATTTTCCTTGTTTAGACTCAATAATGCGTGTATGTATGTATATGTATATATGTATGTGTATATGTATGTATGTATGTGTATGTGTATATATGCATACAATATATATATATATATATGTCGTACCTAGTAGCCAGAACGCACTTCTCAGCCTACTATGCAAGGCCCGATTTGCCTAATAAGCCAAGTTTTCATGAATTAATTGTTTTTCGACTACCTAACCTACCTAACCTAACCTAACCTAACTTTTTCGGCTACCTAACCTAACCTCACCTATAAAGATAGGTTAGGTTAGGTTAGGTAGGGTTGGTTAGGTTCGGTCATATATCTACGTTAATTTTAACTCCAATAAAAAAAATTGACCTCAAACATAATGAAATGGGTAGCTTTATCATTTCATAAGAAAAAAGTTAGAGAAAATATATTAATTCAGGAAAACTTGGCTTATTAGGCGAATCGGGCCTTGCATAGTAGGCTGAGAAGTGCGTTCTGGCTACTAGGTACGACATATATATATATATATATATATATATATATATATATATATATATATATATATATATATATATATATATATATATATATATATATATATATATATATATATATATATATATATATATATATATATATATATATATATATATATATATATATATATATATATATATATATATATATATATATATATATATATATATATTTATATATATATATTTATATATATATATATATATATATATATATATATGTCGTACCTAGTAGCCAGAACGCACTTCTCAGGCTAATATGCAAGACCAAATTTGCCTAATAAGCCAAGTTTTCCTGAATAAATATATTTTCTGAAATTTTTTTCTTATGAAATGATAAAGCTACCCATTTCATTATGTATGAGGTCAATTTTTTTTTATTGGAGTTAAAATTAACGTAGATATATGACCGAACCTAACCAACCCTACCTAACCTAACCTAACCTAACCTATCTTTATAGGTTAGGTTAGGTTAGGTAGCCGGAAAAGTTAGGTTAGGTTAGGTTAGGTAGGTTAGGTAGTCAAAAAACAATTTATTCATGAAAACTTGGCTTATTAGGCAAATTTGGCCTTGCATAGTAGGCTGAGGAGTGCGTTCTGGCTACTAGGTACGACATATATATATATATATTTATATATATATATTTATGCATTTTAACGATGCATAAACAACAGGGCTCCATTAAGGAACATATAATCTCTTCCCATAACCAAACCATCGCCAGAGAAATCCTAGTAAACAACACAGAAATCATCGATAGATACAGCGATAGCAGGCGGCTCGACGTTTGCGAGGCACTACACATCAAGAAGTCAACACCAGCAATCAACAGCCAATTATTGCACAACTATATTCTACCCACCTCAAGACTCCGCTCCAATATAGAAGCATCAAGAAATATGGACCAATAGGCTTTCTACAAACACTTCTATTCAATATCCATTGTTTCGTGTTCTGTCTTGTGTTGATACTTTTAATACCCTATTAATATCCTCTAATGCCACATCATCCTTCCCACCTTACTCAAATGTAATGCCACATCACCCTTCCCACCTCACTCAAATGTAGATATAAAATCAGGGAAACGCAAGTTCTAATCAGTTGTGTATTTGTGAAGTCTTTGAAAATGTAATAAGTTTTACGAAACGCGCCCGTGTCGCGTCAGACTAGAAATAAAAATGAATTTTGGAGAAGTGATTTTTGATTTACCTCCAACAGTGAAGCATAATGTACGAAAGATTGAGAAAATTCGTGTTAGAATTATTAATCTTACTTTTTCGGTCATATTTAATAAAATATTTATATATATATATATATTTATATATATATATTTATATATATATATATATATATATATATATATATATCATTATGTTTGAGGTCAATTTTTTTTATTGGAGTCAAAATTAACGTTAGGTAGGGTTGGTTAGGTTCGGTCATATATCTACGTTAATTTTGACTCCAATAAAAAAAATTGACCTCAAACATAATGAAATGGGTAGCTTTATCATTTCATAAGAAAAAAATTAGAGAAAATATATTAATTCAGGAAAACTTGGCTTATTAGGCAAATCGGGCCTTGCATAGTAGGCTGAGAAGTGCGTTCTGGCTATTAGGTACGACATATATATATATATATATATATATATGTCGTACCTAGTAGCCAGAACTCACTTCTCAGCCTACTATGCAAGGCCAAATTTGCCTAGTAAGCCAAGTTTTCATGAATTAATTGTTTTTCGACTACCTAACCTACCTAACCTAACCTAACCTAACTTTTTCGGCTACCTAACCAAACCTAACCTATAAAGATAGGTTAGGTTAGGTTAGGTAGGGTTGGTTAGGTTCCGTCATATATCTACGTTAATTTTAACTCCAATAAAAAAAAATTGACCTCATACATAATGAAATGGGTAGCTTTATCATTTCATAAGAAAAAAATTAGAAAAAATATATTAATTCAAGAAAACTTGGCTTATTAGGCAAATCGGGCCTTGAATAGTAGGCCAAAAGTGAGTTCTGGCTACTAGGTACGACATATATATATATATATATATATATATATATATATATATATATATATATACTAAATTATTTGCAACTGACATATCTCATATGCCATGGGCAAAGTGATGTCATAATAAATAGATTGTGATTTTTGTTGTGTTGTGTTTAATATAAACTTGACAAAAAATGGATATTGATGAATTTGTACTTACCTAATGTGCTTAAGGCCTATTTATACAGGTATTTTACTACACTACTTTTTCTTGTAAGTTAAGTCACAGACCATTGTATGCGTTATAGTGGTGCCCCTTCCCCCATTTCTCTCTGTTTTTGGGGAGGGGGTAGGGGAAGCCTGGGGCTGACAGGTAGTACGAATTCCTTGATGGGATGAATCAGCCTCGCCCCATATACAGTAGTTTGTTCAAATGAGTTCAACTCAGTTATATTGAAGAGTTATAGCTTTTCAAATATATACACACACTGTGTATATATAGTGCATAAACCAACCCTATCACAGGAGGAGGAGTGTACATTTTGGTGCTGCTAAATACACCTCTACAAAATATGATGAAGTATAAATGACATTTAATCACATGCTTCGGAGAAAATGTATTGACTGGACACCTACCATCTGTATAACAGTGTCAGTGAGCCGGTCTTCTAACTCCTGGGTTACCTTCCTACTACGGTCAAGCTCTTCAAGCTTATTAATCAGCTCTTCATTCACCTGTAAACAACAACACCGACACCATTTTAAATAATATTGACAAATACACAAATATCTCTACATTAACTGAATTAGGGTAATCACGGACAGTGCTTCGAGCTACCCGTTCATAATGCACTTAAACTTATAAAATAATCTTCAACACAAAAATATACGAGTTTACAAAATGGCCGCCATGATGCTACAGACCATACAAGCAACAGCTAAAGCTATAGATGCCCAATGTGTACATTATATGAATGAAGACTTCAGCAATTAGGACCAGGAATAATAAATAATATCAAAGAAAGATGATGGAATTTAGACTCAAGGTCCAGCACTAAAGCCTACTGGTTATTCTTCTAATATACAGTACAGTATTAACATTTATGTGTAGTGATTTATTTAGATTTATATACAAGAAGGCAAATTTTAACTCTTACACTGCTACAGCCTGGGCTGTAAATGGGGGTATAAGCCGGGGCTGGGTGAAAATATATTTGAATTATGTGAAAATTAATATTAAATGTTAAACAAATCTCCAACTTATTGGCTTCAGCGTCGTGAAAGTATCATCCCAGTTCATTATGAAATGGATTTTAGACAATTTTAAAAAAATGAAGAATGTTTGGTTGATAAGGAGAAGAGCTCCTATTAACTGGAACTGAGGGATAATGCAGTAATAGAGGGATGCAAGCACCTGTCCCACGCACAAAGAAGAATAGTAGTTATAAGTGCTCACAAAGTGGATATGCAGCTGATGCCTTTATAGCATTGCTGAGTAATACATAATAACACAAATAATAATGAGTATGTTGTTATAATCTATTTTGTTATATACCATATAAATACATTGTCTAATGGTAATACCTGTTACTTTCACCAATGTCCACAATTTTTTTAAGATTTTTTTTTTTTTTTGTCCCAGACCCAGATCGAAGAGGATGTCTTAATTAATAAGGATGTGAGAATATTTTCAGCAAGTAACTTACTGTTGAAAATTTAAGTGACAAAGAATCTTTCTCATTCTTGTCTGCTGCAGCACTGGATGTCCACAACTCCAACTCCTTCACTGCATGGTCTCTCTCTCTTCGAGCTGCCTCCAACTCATCTGCTGTAGTCTACAAAATAATAATTCATATAAAGTTTATTTATAAGGCAAACCTACACACTAGAAAATCAGCATTTTGACCAGACCACACACTAGAAGGTGTAGGGACGACGAAGTTTCGGTCCGTCCTGGACCATTCTCAAGTCCATTGAAACACAATCGACTTGAGAATGGTCCAGGATGGACCATAACGTCGTCGTCCCTTCACCTTCTAGTGTGTGGTCTGGTCAACTTACTTTAGCCACGTTATTGTGACTCATCACCTGCAAAATCAGCATTCTTCAGGGTAATTTGATATCACATAAGCAGCTTTTGCTTACGTTCGAGATATTCATTGACAACCTTAGCTCAACACAAAAGCTTATGTGTACACACAAACCTTGAGTTTCCCCTCGCTTTCAGACAATTCTTCCTGACACTTCAACAGAGCATGTTCCAGCTGCTCTCGAAGCTTACGAACCATCAACAATTCTTCATCCAGCTTCCTTTTCTCTTCAGTGATCTGAAACATAAGAAACCGGCTTTGAATATAATGAAACTCCAATTTCTAGGCGAGCCCCAGTAGCATCCCTGAAGCTACTGTCACTGATAGTGTACCAACTACAGTGGCGCCTCGATTAATGAATTTAATCCGTTCCGGCACCGAGCTCATCATGTGAAATGCTCATCTTGCGAAACAACAACACTGTTGTCAGAGGTGTCCAAGAACCAGCGGGAACGCTAGGAAGCACCATGTGGTTTGCTCGTTAATCGAGTGAAAAATCGTCAATCCAGACAAATTTTCTGCGAGTGGCTTGCTCGTTACTCAAAATGCTCGTAACTAAAGTCGCTTGTCACTTGAGGTTCCACTGTACTGTACTAGGTTACATCAGTTACGGAGTTCTATAGGCTTTCTGGGGACCACCATCAGAACCTGGTCCCCTCACAGAGGAGCAGTTAGTGGTGACATGGATGTAATTATTTAGGCTATCACTGGGGAATGCACTAAGAAAGTCAGCGAGATGAAACAAACCAATGCTGGCTTTAAACGAGACTGCAGCCTTGAGAACTGTTGGAAGAACTCCTCTAACAATGTAAACAATCAAAATTTCCTGAAACTAGATCAAGCTCATTTGCTCCACCTCCCCCACTCATTTGGGGGGGATGGAGAAGGAAGCTCCCGGTCAGCCAGTGTCACCACCCTCAGTTCTATGGCAGATGTAACCAACACACTGGAGGGAGAGAGGAATGGAGGGTGTCGGTGAGCCACCGGGGCTCACATAGAAAATGGCCTTTCAGTACATTTAATGCTGATCTCCTGGGGATATCCCCTTGTGGCTCCCTGAAGTTAACTACCCATAGAGAAGGAAACAAAAGGGCACTTACCAGGGAGAAGGGAGCAGGAATAAGAATGAAGAGATATCTGGATGAGACATGACCCAAAGCCACACAAGGGCACAGGGGCCTAGGCAACACAATACTGGGCCACAAGAACCCTGTTTCACCTCAAAAACCCTGCACCCGAATATCAGCCCAGGACATGTTTGAACACCGCCGAGCAAGCTGCGTATTTCCTAACATGGGCACAAGTGAAGACTACAGACTGCCTAGACTTAATGAAACTGCAGACAACCTGAGAAAGATGAGCCAAGGTAACAGGATCAACCCACTACATTTACCAAGGTAGAATTAATGGCACAAAGGTAGTGGCAGAGAGCCACCACCAGGCTCAGCACATGATGCATCCCAGGCCGAACCAATCGAGCAACAACATCCAAAGGACTGCTTTGGAAGCCAACCCATTCATTCATTGCCAGAAAAGAAGGCGCCAGCTGCAAATGAACAAACTGCCCTTTCGGGCCAAAAGAACAAAACCCCTGCCTCCGAAGAAGAGCATAAAGCTCACAAAACTGACAACCGGAAGCAGCAGAAATCAAGACAAAGACGAGGAAACAATAATGGACCAAAAGGGACACCGAATTCGAACAGGTGAAAGAAACGCAAGAACACAGTTCAGTGACCAAGCAGGCACTGGTGGCACGTGAAAAGCCGGAGGTGAAACAATGCACAAGACAGTCTGCAAAACGGAGCTAAGGTAGTATTGACCCTCAATGCGCTGCAGCGGTCCAGCCAACACCACACGATATGAGGCAACAGTACCCAGCTGATCAAGTAAAAAGCCAGGACAGAATGGAATAAACCACATGTTCAGAAAACAAAGGACAACAAAGAGAAAGGAAATGGTGAAAAGGGTGCTCTGAAAAATACTGTAGCCAAGAGGAAGCAGGCAAGTGGGACACCATGAATGAAGTCACCTGCTTGGATTAAAATAGCAACATATCTCTACCAAAAAACCCAGGCACAAAGAGCTGAGGAGAAGGATGAAGTAGTGTCCAAGCAAGCAGCACCTGAAACCAAGGCTCATCTAGCTACCAAGAAGCAAGGATAATCCTTCCGTGCTAGGAATCCAACCTGACTTGGACCCAGAGCAACAGTTATACTGAGGAAAGAAGTATAGAAACCCCAATGCCCACACCGGATAATCCCTAGAGATGAATGGCACGGAGAACCAATCCCAAGAACCCAGCAGAAGTGCTACAAGTAGCATCCAGCACCAAAGAGGCAGGGACCAAAGTGACCTCCCCCCCCCCCCCCAGGGAAAGAATTAACCACAGGGGGGACAATCCAAATGGAATCAAAGCACAGAGCCCAGAGGAATCTGAACCCTCCACAGTGCTGGCTACATGGCCATAAACTCCCAAACCATATTGTAAGCCCAATGAAGGAGGGAAGAACACTGACCCAGGCTGGCTTAGTGAGAGCTGGTCACACAGTCCCAACCTAGAGACGAGGTATACGTGAATACTGTACGTTGAGAGAGAACGGAGGAAGGCGCCAGGGAACCAAACTCTGAAAAGCCCAAAGAGGAAGCCAGAGATGCAGCATTTGGCACAGGGCCAATGAGGCCCACACCCAATGATCGAGACAGTGGCAAAAGGGACTGCCCCTGAGATACCAGAACAGCTACTCAAGCCAAACCTTGCCCAGAGGAAACACAGTGCAGGCAAAATTCAGGATCCTGCACAACTGCTCGAGCAACCACCGAGTCACCTGGAACAGACTCAACACTAATAGATGGTGGTGCTGCAGCCTGGTTAAGGCTGCTGGAGCCAGGAAAAGCGACGCCGATCAAGAAACGAGGCCCAGCCATGTCTGAATCTGAGAAGGTACCAACTGGGACTCCTGCAAGGTCACCAAGAACCCAAAACTGGAGAGCTGGGAAAGAACCAGATCCTTGGCCAGAAAACAGACTGACTGGGAGCCCACACCAGCCAGTTGTCGAGATGGGTCAAAACCCAAAGCCCCAGCAAACGAGGACAAGCCACAACATCTTAAGCCAAGTGTGTGAACATATGTGGAGCCAGATTCAGCCCCAATAGGAGAACCTGAAAGTGGTAAGCCTGCCTGGTAACAAAACTAAGCCAATCCCTGAACCCCGGATGATAAGGACGTGCCAATAAGTCTCAGTGGTCCTCCATGATCACCCAGGCGCCTGTCTTGAGTACAAGACAGACCTGGGACAAAAAGGAGGGGGCAAGGAATGAACCGTTTCAAACATGAAAGGTCAAGGATGAACAAGATGACTGGCAACTGCAATATCTCTTCTATAGTATTTGAAAGCAAGAGATGATGACCAACTAATCTCTTAAAAACCCTTAGCAATTTCAGCACTTGCCTGCCATTGCAGTAAGATAAAGAGTATTCTACCCACACTTTAAAACTCTGCAAGTCTTAACACACCTACAAAAGCTCTTATGGTAAAATCATTTAATCATGAAGATCAACAACAAAATTTTGACTATCAGAGTATAGAAAAGGGTAAAAATACATTGACAAATTCTCAGCATAGATAAGAGTGGCAAGCTTTAACCCAAAATTACCGGAACACTGTAGGCAAGGAATGCACAGTGCCTATGTATTGTACCTAAGGAAATAGGCAAGGAATGCACAGTGCCTATGTATTGTACCTAAGGAAATACTTACAGCAAGAATATGAGCTTCAAGTTCTGCTACTCTGACACTAGATGTTGCCAGAGAACGGTCCAGAGTCTTGACACGATCCTCCAGATGGCCCTTCTCCTCCACCACCTGTCCTATTCTCCCCATTAACTCGTTCTTTTCATCGGTCTCTATCTTCATTTTGGCCTCCAGACCCTAGAACATAAAATTATTTAAGGTCAACTAATAAATTTTAAAACAATGGAGCACTTAATTGAAATTTAAATATTGCAATTTGAATTAATTTAGAAATGTTTTGCTTAATTGGTACTGTATTACAAATTATTCCCATTACTGTATACAGTATTACAATTTGAAATTAATATTTCACTCGCTAAAATACTGTATGGCCAAAGAGCAAGACAATAATACAGTATGAATGGTAACTTCTTTAATCCCCTAGCTGCACACCCTAAATTGTGCCAATTATGTATAAAATTATATTCATTTCTACATTGTAAAACATTTCTTTCTGACACACAGAAATTACAATAGCGTGATGCATCAAATGAACAAATCCACAAGGGCCGTGATGAGGGTTCGAATCTACGTCCTGGATGATCCAAGATGCGCCTTAGTCGACTGCGCCACAACATGGTTTAAAGAACTGTAACCTGGAGTGCTGCTGCCCTCACAAGGCTCCCGCAGCTTCTCCGAAGCACAGACCGGGGTTTCACACAATTTCCCCATGCACCCGGGCTCTGCCAACCAAATGTTCTACCTCTTCGCCCTTACTTCAATATACATAGAAATCACAATAGCGTAATATATCAAACGAACAAATCCACAAGGACCTCCAAGGGTTAAAGTATCATTATAAAACATTCTTAGTCTATCTTGTCAATTCATGTTACTATTTTGTACGTGGTGATCATATCGCCATGTGCAGCACTAATTAAGTGTATGTATGTGTGTATGCACCAATTTCGTTGTACTCACCTATTTGTACTTGTGGGGGTTGAGCTCTGGCTCTTTGGTCCTGCCCCTCAATTCCCTGTTGTGTGTGTATGCTCTAATTGTGTGCATTTGTATCACATATACAATATGTAACTCAAAGCAATGTACACCAAGGGAGCCGGTGACTGAGCGGACAGAACACTGGACGCGTGATCCTATGGTCTCTGGTTCGATCCCGGGCGCCGGCGAGAAACGATGGGCAGAGTTTCTTTCACCCCTGATGCCCCTGTTACCTAGCAGTAAATAGGTACCTGAGAGTTAGTCAGCTGTCACGGGCTGCTTCCTAGGGGTGGAGGCCTGGTCGAGGACCAGGGAGCCGGTCGGCTGAGCGGACAGCACGCTGGACTTGTGATCCTGTGGTCCTGGGTTCGATCCCAGGCGCCGGCGAGAAACAATGGGCAGAGTTTCTTTCACCCTATGCCCCTGTTACCTAGCAGTAAAATAGGTACCTGGGTGTTAGTCAGCTGTCATGGGCTGCTTCCTGGGGGTGGAGGCCTGGTCGAGGACTGGGCTGCGGGGACACTAAAAAGCCCCGAAATCATCAAGATAACCTCAAGATGACCGGGCCGGGGAAAACTAAAGCCGCAAAATCATCTCAAGATAACCACAAGATAACTAAAATACTGATCACGCAGCTCTGACCACAAAATAAAGGGTCTGACCTGAAGATGATGCTGACACATACTGAGCTGCTGTGACTTGTCATCCAGCTCTCTCTGCTTCTCTTCCATCAGCTGCTTCTGTGTGCTTACATCTCCCACCAGTTTTTCATTTTGCTTTGACAACTGCAAATCAAAGTGAATATAAAATAACAAAATAGAATTAAAGCAAACAAAATTTTTAAATATAAATAGCAATAAAATGTTTACAATTTATACAGATCTATACCCTCAGATGACAAGTATTTTATCTAGACTAATGTAGGAAATTTATAAACAAAAAGTTATCACCAACTTATCCAATATATTTATCAAGGGTGTCAAGATAATTAAAAAACTTTTCTGGGGAGAAAGGACCAGGGTCCTTTCAGAGATGGCTCCCAACTATTAGGTCACGTCATCTGTGGGGTTCTGTTTGGCCTATCGGGACTAGTGCTAGACCCTAGCCCCCTCCTCACAGAGGTACAGGAAGCAAGTGACACTGCATCATTGCAGCCACATTTGGGGTTGTATGCACCTCCAGGGATGGCACATGGAAAAGCACTGCAACCTGGGATTCAACTGAATCCTCTAAGGTTCCCGAGGCTTCCACTGAAGCCTAATCAGGATTAATCATCATGTCATGACATGCTTTTCCACATCGTGGTGTAGTAGTTTAGAGCGTGCCTGGGAGTACCTGGTGCAAAGGTTCCAACCCTCCTCATGACTCCTAATTTGTTCTGACTGATGCATCACATTAATGTGATTCTTTTATGCATCTGAAGAGAAGCATAGTAGGAAGAATTCCTAGACTACAAGCCAGAGCACATGGGGGCACTTTGTGAAACCCTGATTAGGCTTCAGTAGAAACCTCCGGAACCCCTGGAGGATTAAATTGATCCCCAGGTTACAATGATTTTGACCATGTCGTGGTGCAGTGGTCTAGAGCATACCTGGGAGTAACCGGCTCATAGACTCGAGTCCTCCTCATGGCTGCTACTTGTTTTCTCATCATATATAATGTAATGGAAAGCTTAACCCTTAAACTGCGCAACGCGCCTGCAGGCTCACGTCTGGTTTGCGCAACATGCCTCCGGGTATTTGTATTTTTCACGTTCCATTCAAAACTCCCGCGGCTACATGGGGTTCACATCAGCTTCCTCAGGGCTCTTGTAAACAGACGCCATCTTTAAAAAAAATCGTGGTCCACATTCCCGGGTGTGGGAGCCTCAGTAGTGTGTGAGCAACCAAGGCTGGCGCTCGCAGCATGAGCGCACAGCACTGCTGTTCAGCATGTGACCACAGCATCGCCTAATAATGTCAAAATATATATATAACCTGTATTATTTAGCCATGATAGTATTATAGAAGAGCCTGAGTGTGATAATGACTGGGTACAATGTTCAAATATCAGTGATTCAATGCTGTTCACGATGCTCACAGCGCTAGCCACAGCACCACAGCATTATTTCGTTCATCTAGGAATCTTCAAATGATTTCTTAGGTTCCTTTTCAAAATAAACGTGTGGTCAATTATTCATTTACAGGAATTAGTGACCAGGATTGTGGTTATAATTAGCGTTGTGCGTAGTATTGTGGAAGGAGGAATTTTGATGAGGGAGGGAGGGCGAGAATTGAGGTAGCCTCATTGTGTGTGTGTGGCTGACACTCTTGTTTTGCTCACCATACTAGCTTAGTGGTTCGCTATGGGCAACACATATATACATGGGTATATATAGTGTGTGTATATAGTGTAAGAACAGCAACAGGAGAATGTTGAGAGGAGCTATTTTGGTGAGGGAGGTGACGTAATCGTAGCGTCGTCTGCTGTGTGATTTGTCATGCAGTGTATGGTGGCCACTGTACTGTTTGGACACAATACCGGCTTACTTGCATAGTTCTGGTAAATAAAACATGTAGATAGGTATATAGAACATGTGTAATAAGAACTATAACAATATGGTGGGAGGAGCAATGTTGGCGAGTAAGATGTTGGAGTGAGGGAGACTGGCTGGGTGTGGCTGCTCTCACTCGAGGTGTTCTGAATGTGTTCATGGCCAAATGCTCCTATTGGCCCATACAAGGCAGCTGTTATTGGCCCATACGGTGCAGCTGCTATTGGCCCATATGAGGCAGCTGCTATTGGCCCATACGAGGCAGCTGCTATTGGCCCATACGGGGCAGCTGCTATTGGCCCATACGGGGCAGCTGCTATTGGCCCATACAAGGCAGCTGTTATTGGCCCATACGGGGCAGCTGTTATTGGCCCATACGGGGCAGCTGCTATTGGCCCATATGAGGCAGCTGCTATTGGCCCATACGAGGCAGCTGCTGTTGGCCCATACGGGGCAGCTGCTATTGGCCCATACGAGGCAGCTGCTATTGGCCCATACGAGGCAGCTGCTTTTGGCGCATACGGGGCAGCTGCTTTTGGCCCATACGGGGCAGCTGCTATTGGCCCATACGAGGCAGCTCCTCTTGGCCCATACGAGGCAGCTGCTATTGGCCTATACGAGGCAGCTGCTATTGGCCCATATGCGGCAGCTGCTATTGGCCCATACGATGCAGCTGTTATTGGCCCATACGGGGCAGCTGCTGTTGGCCCATACGGGGCAGCTGCTATTGGCCCATACGAGGCAGCTGCTATTGGCCCATACGAAGCAGCTGCTACGCAGTGTTCTGAATGTGTTGATGGTGAATGTATATAGTGTGTAAATAGATTGTATATATACACAAATTAGCATGATACATAGTAAATATGTGCTGCATATGTGTACACAAGTTTCATGCACGTAACACAGTGTCTTCGGACAGTACGGATGTTGTACTGCGATATTATAATGTACGTGTTCATTATACATTGGATTGGCACATAAAAACAATGAAAATGTATTTGGAAAGGTGCGCAAAAAATGAACGAAAATATATTCGCGGCAACTCGCGCGCCCCACTGCCCTCGAGAGCTTACGGCACGGGCGCACGGGGAATAATGACGTCACGCCCCAACTTCCGGGCCCCATAGCAGCCAAAGTAAGTACAATTTCGACTTTTTTTTTACATACCCATACTGAGGGAAGGGTTTTTGACACTTTAAAAAGAAAAAATAATTTTTTCCAGAGAATTTATTTCCTGCGCACTGCGGGGGTGTCACATTTGGAGGCAACGCAGTTAAGGGGTTAATCATTCCATAAGAAAAATTTTGAAAATATATAATTTGACAAAAACTAGCCTTATTAGGCAACTTGGCCAATTAGGTAAAACATACATAAATTTTATTTTTATATACCCGTGCTGTATATAAATATATATTTATATCGTAAACATTTCTTGTGGTTTCAGACACACAAAAGAGCTGTGTTTGCCCAAAACACTATGCGTATTAGTGGCTTTAGGTTTTATATGTACTAGCTCTATCTATAAATCCAACATTATGTTAGTATCTCTTCATCTATGTATGTACTCTTCCTGAATAAAAAATTTAATTTAATTTAATTTTAATTTTATGAATCTCAGAAATAATGCTAACTCAAAGTACCACCTGTATCAACATAAACGGCTACTGCCAAAACTGCCATAGTTTCCAGTAAAAGGACAAGTGAGCATACCTTGTTAACCTTGTCATGAAGGATGCTCTCGTTGGTGCACACCACCACCATGCCATCCTCCCCGTCGTCCATCCCGCACACATTGTTCACCCCAACACACCCAAACTGTTGCAGCTGGAAGGGTGTCGACACTCCCACAATGTGGCTCTCGTGTGTCACGTAACAGAACTGGAAGAACTCTCCAGCATCCTTTGGCAAGTTACTTGCTGTTACAAGTTTTAAGTTACATTTAATTATTCCAACAATTGTAGTGATATGAGAAACTTAAAATATATACAGTACAATAATTCTAGCAATTATGAAAGAGGAAACAAGAAGTTCATATTACAAAATAGGAAGAAAGGAGGAAGAAACTGGGAAAATAAAAGCAACTTGACAAAGATACGGTAATATGGAAATTAAAGTAAAAACAGCAAAGTTAAATCAAATACCCGACAATTTATATATTGTAACCTATAAACAAAATCTCCTGGTCATTTAATATCCTTCTTCTATCACAAGATTAATTAAAGGATTCCATCTTGAAAATAAATTGGGAGTTGCTTCTTGAGTTACTAATGCACCACCTTAGAACTTTACCATCAAAATGACTTGGCCAGTCACCCAAGAAATATTTCTGTGGCAGGATTCAGCCATTAGTTCAGCAAGGAAAGGTCATTGAAATAACAAGACTACATACAATAACAAATATTGCATATGTAAAGGTGCCATAATCAAGGATACAATAAATAGCTTTTATTTGACTTGTTTTCATTTGAACCACTTTTGTATTAACACTTTCGCGCTATCTGGACGCGCCGGCGCGTTCGGTTTCGTCTAACGTAAACGCATAGTGGACATAAAGTTATGTCTACTTTTAAAATATTTGTATAAAATTCAATTTTTATCCGATTTACTTTGGGTTTGTTTCAAACTGCGCGCTATGAGGCTCTCTTTCTCACCACTAGGCTGCATGGTACAATAAGTTCATGAAAGGTGTGGATAACTTCGATCAAATGGTATTTTGTCCCAAACGGGTTGCAGGTGGGTGACTTTAGCCGTTTATACTGGTAATTCTTCCCCCATATCATGTATTAGATGCATATGTCTGTTTAGGGAATTTTATTCCGATCAATATACAACCAAAAATAACTGTGTGCAACAAGTATAATCTTGACAAACATAACAAAAGTAAAAATATTTCGTGTGTGTTTGACGCTCACTGATATGTTCCAGCGTTGTTTTATATTTGTCGCTATTCTAACTTACGCTTTGTTGATATTTTTTATCTATGGGCACATAGAACATTCTATTGCGAACACATTGACATAAAAATGAATGACGTACATAGAAAATTAATGTCATGAGAGTGAAATAAGTATAAACTTTCAAAGCGCCGTGCGTCGTCCCGTCACCGATACCGGGTAACAATTTCACCACTTCCCACACTCTTGCGGGCGGGCTGCATCATTATTCTACGCTTATATTCATATCACCGTGTAGGGAATTTCATTGCGAGTCCATTGATACCAAAATTAACGCTGTAGAACAAGTGTGGAGGTGATTACAATCCCAAGAGTAAAAACATTTTGTTGCTGATGGGCGCTCACAGCGAGTCATCTACGTAGTTATTTATTTGGTGCTGGTATCCCTATATGTTTCGTGACTTATTTTACTAATGTTCTTCTAGAGAATTTTATTGCGAACACGTTGGTACCAAAATGAAATACGTAGCATGAGAACTAAGGTCAGAAGAGTAAATAGAGTATACACATTTTTGTTTTTACGCTTAAGCGATAAAAACGCAGCGCGCACATTCGGTTGGCTGAGTGACCTTTGCGGAGAGCGCGAAAGTGTTAAAGGGATGAAGCCAAAACAAGGACACCATGAAAATAAAAAATGCAAGAATAATGGGGGAATGAAAATAGCATGGACAAGTTGATGTAATATCATAAATGATCATCATCAACAGTAGACACTTAACATACATAACAACTAAGGACAAAATTATGTGCAAGTTTCAACCTTTCAACAAATACACAGCTGATACTTATTTTTCCGTGCAAGCTCATGCCAACAGCTAAACTTTCACAGACCCCATAGTCAGTCAAGTAAGTGAAATGGTATCATAAATGTTTCAGGTATTCCATCACAAGTGTTTCACCACTCAAAGGTAAATATGTCCTATATTATATGACTTTCATTATAAATTTAAGGATATTGAGCTCTACACATATATTCCTAAAATGTATTCATTCACCCATATTATGTTTTCTGTTGATCTTACAAGACAGCAAACTACAAAAACTGACATCAACATAACCAAAAAATGACGCAGAAAATGTTTAATACAGATATGTTCAAGTGACAAATTTACCTTTGAACACCACAGTAAGAGGCAGCTGATTTTGAGTGTGGTCTTTACTAGGTGTTGGAGCCCACTGATAACACAAGTAGTCTTGGGGTGATCCAAACCCTACGCGATAGAGCGCAATACGATTTAACACTTTCGCGCTTTAGATTAGAGATAACTCGTCGCCGTTTTCTCTTACGATTCCGCATAACAGCCGAGTTTTCTCGTCCATCGAAAAAATATTTCTATAAATTCCATTTTTTAACCGAAATGGATGGGGATACTTTTGTTTTGTAGGGAATTTATTTGCGAATGTTTTGGTACCAGAATGAATATTATATCACATAAACTTCTATGAGTAAAAAAAAAAATACACAAAGTATGTTTGGGGGTGTGGCGAGCGTGTGGCAGTGGGTTCCCTTTAGCCGTTGATATATCCAACACGTGGGAAATATTTGTATGTGTTATGTATATGTCTGTGTAGGGAATTTTACTGCGATCACTGTCATACAAATTATAAAATGTTTCAACAAGTATAAACATGACAAACATCAAACGAACGAAAACAATGCGTTCGTTTCTGCCGCGAACGCATACTGAGCGACGTGGTTCTATATTTGGCGCTTCTCTTACACATGCTTTGTACAAATGTTATACAGTTCATCTTATAGAAAATTTTATTGCGAACACATTGGTATAAAAAAGAAATACGTACATAGAAAAGTAGGGTCAGGAAACGTATAAACTTTCCAAGCATGATTTCCCCCCTGTGTTTTCGCCAGTGCGCTCGCGGCTAACTACTCTCCACTTCACACACTCTTGCGGGTGGGCAATTACCTATATTAAACATTCATATGCATATGTCCGTGTAGAGAATTTTATTGCGATTCCAATGATACCAAAATTAGCGATGTAGGACAACTGTAGGCTTCGCAACCATTAAGAGAGTGGAAACATTTTGTTGCTGTTTGGCGCTCTCGGCGAGTGATCTGCATAGTTTTTTATTTGGTGTTGATACTCCTTATGCTTGGGCGGCATTTTATAGGTATGCTCTTATAGACAATTTCATTGCGAACACAGTGATACCAAATTTAAATACGTGCGCCTTCAATTATTGTCAGGACAGTCAAAAGAGTGTACACTTTTCGGTTTTACCGCGTAGGCGCGCAAAGTGCCGAAAGCATCTGGGGTATTGTTTTTTTTTGAGCGCCGAGAGCGCGAAAGTGTTAAGCTCCCTCTCTGGCTTTCTCTTTTTATATCCATCTTTAACTCTATATAGTATGGGGGTAGTCCTGTGCGTGTTGGAATGTATGTGTAGGTGTTGGTATATGAATGTGGTTGTTAGTGTTGGCATGTGAACGTGGGTGTCAGTATGTGAGCGTGGGTGTTGGCATGTGAGCGTGGGTGTCAGTATGTGAGCGTGGGTGTTGGCATGTGAGCGTGGGTGTTGGCATGTGAGCGTGGGTGTTGGCATGTGAGCGTGGGTGTCAGTATGTGAGCGTGGGTGTTGGCATGTGAGCGTGGGTGTTGGCATGTGAGCGTGGGTGTTGGCATGTGAGCGTGGGTGTCGGCATGTGAGCGTGGGTGTTGGCATGTGAGCGTGGGTGTCAGTATGTGAGTGTGGGTGTTGGCATGTGAGCGTGGGTGTTGGCATGTGAGTGTGGGTGTCAGTATGTGAGCGTGGGTGTTGGCATGTGAGCGTGGGTGTTGGCATGTGAGCGTGGGTGTCAGTATGTGAGCGTGGGTGTTGGCATGTGAGCGTGGGTGTCAGTATGTGAGCGTGGGTGTTGGCATGTGAATGTGGGTGTCAGTATGTGAGCGTGGGTGTTGGCATGTGAGCGTGGGTGTCGGCATGTGAGCGTGGGTGTTGGCATGTGAGCGTGGGTGTCAGTATGTGAGTGTGGGTGTCGGCATGTGAGCGTGGGTGTTGGCATGTGAGCGTGGGTGTCAGTATGTGAGTGTGGGTGTTGGCATGTGAGCGTGGGTGTTGGCATGTGAGCGTGGGTGTCAGTATGTGAGCGTGGGTGTTGGCATGTGAGCGTGGGTGTTGGCATGTGAGCGTGGGTGTCAGTATGTGAGCATGGGTGTTGGCATGTGAGCGTGGGTGTTGGCATGTGAGCGTGGGTGTGGGCATGTGAGCATGGGTGTCAGCATGTGGGTGTGGGCATGTGAGCGTGGGTGTTGGCACGTGAGCGTGGGTGTGGGCATGTGAGCGTGGGTGTCAGTGAGTGTGGGTGTGGGCATGCGAGCATGGGTGTCAGCAAGTGAGTGTGGGTGTGGGCATGTGAGCGTGGGTGTTGGCACGTGAGCGTGGGTGTTGGCACGTGAGCGTGGGTGTTGGCACGAGAGCGTGGGTGTTGGCATGTGAGTGTGGGTGTCGGCATGTGAGTGTGGGTGTTGGCATGTGAGTGTGGGTGTTGGCATGTGAGTGTGGGTGTCGGCATGTGAGTGTGGGTGTTGGCACGTGAGTGTGGGTGTTGGCATGTGAGTGTGGGTGTGGGTGTTGGCACGAGAGCGTGGGTGTTGGCATGTGAGTGTGGGTGTTGGAATGTGAGTGTGGGTGTTGGCATGTGAGTGTGGGTGTTGGCATGTGAGTGTGGGTGTTGGCATGTGAGCGTGGGTGTGGGCATGTGAGCGTGGGTGTCGGCACGTGAGCGTGGGTGTCGGCACGTGAGCATGGGTGTTGGCACGTGAGCGTGGGTGTGGGCACGTGAGCGTGGGTGTGGGCACGTGAGCGTGGGTGTCGGCACGTGGGTGTGGCATGTGAGCGTGGGTGTTGGCATGTGAGTGTGGGTGTCGGCACGTGAGCGTGGGTGTGGGCACGTGAGCGTGGGTGTTGGCACGTGAGCGTGGGTGTGGGCACGTGAGCGTGGGTGTGGGCACGTGAGCGTGGGTGTCGGCACGTGGGTGTGGGCATGTGAGCGTGGGTGTTGGCATGTGAGTGTGGGTGTCGGCACGTGAGCGTGGGTGTGGGCATGTGAGCGTGGGTGTGGGCACGTGAGCGTGGGTGTGGGCACGTGAGCGTGGGTGTGGGCACGTGAGCGTGGGTGTGGGCACGTGAGCGTGGGTGTGGGCACGTGAGCGTGGGTGTGGGCACGTGAGCGTGGGTGTGGGCACGTGAGCGTGGGTGTGGGCATGTGAGCGTGGGTGTGGGCATGTGAGCGTGGGTGTTGGCATGTGAGCGTGGGTGTTGGCACGTGAGCGTGGGTGTCGGCACGTGAGCGTGGGTGTCGGCACGTGAGCGTGGGTGTCGGCACGTGAGCGTGGGTGTCAGTATGTGAGCATGGGTGTCAGTATGTGAGCGTGGGTGTCGGCACGTGAGCGTGGGTGTTGGCATGTGAGTGTCAGTATGTGAGCGTGGGTGTCGGCACGTGAGCATGGGTGTCGGCATGTGAGCATGGGTGTCAGTATGTGAGCGTGGGTGTCGGCACGTGAGTGTGGGTGTCAGTATGTGAGTGTGGGTGTCAGTATGTGAGCGTGGGTGTCGGCACGTGAGCATGGGTGTCGGCATGTGAGCGTGGGTGTCGGCACGTGAGCATTGGTGTCGGCACGTGAGCATTGGTGTCGGCACGTGAGCATGGGTGCTGACATGTGAATGTGGGTGTCAGTATGTGAGTGTGGGTGTTAACATGTGAGTGTGGGTATGGGCATGCGAGCGTGGGTGTCAGCATGTGAGTGTGAGTGTTGGCACATAATTTCATATACAGTAATTAAAATTCCCGGTGTCGGCATGTAACATCATATAATTACAATTCCCAGATAGTGTTTCAGATGTAGTAGGCATGCACATAAAACTCAACAGTTACTTAACCTTTCCAAATGAGGTCTCTGCAGCAAGTGAGGGCTCGAGGTCCTCAGACTTGAGCAGAGCTCTTTCACTAGCCATGCTTCTTGCTTCGTTAAATGCCTGATCTTCGTGGCCAGCCTAGTAAAAGATAATTCATCAATCATTCATATATACAAAAAAGTATTTTTGCATTAATTACAACTTAATAACAGGAACGTTAAAATTGCATAGGCCTACATGTTTTTACTCCATGTAGATAAGATGAGGGTACTAGATGGACTTCATCATGAACACAATTATGTGAAAGTAGACAAATCAGATATGAAACTTGACACTCACAAAGCTCTCTGGTATGATGCTGAAGTCAGAGGCCACACTCAGTTCGTCAAAATCCCGCCTGGGGCTGTCTTCTTTACTCATTGGACCGTCCTAGAAGGAACAAAATCAATAATATATAAGGGTACATCTATATACAGTATATACTGCATCTCTAATTTAAAAATGGAGAAAAACAAGCTATATTGCCCAAATCATAATTATATCCAACAATGAACAAATCCACAAGGGCCGTGACGAGGATTCGAATCCTCGTCAATCTGATTCGAGTATTGCTCGAATCCTCGTCACGGCCCTTGTGGATTTGTTTATTGATGCATCACGCTATTGTGATTTCTGTGTATATATCCAACAAATATGTTACAAATTTACACACAAGTACAGTAGATATATTATCCAAGGTATTCAATGACTTAAGCCATGATGCTGTGTGTAAAACCCATCCTTCAACCAACATCTATTACCTTACGTTTTATGTACAGCAAAATTACACTTATTTCACCTTGTATCCTGTAAACATTATACAGGATAGAAAACTTATTAATTAACACTTATTGAAGCCCCTTGATTAAGCCAAGAGCCAGGCTGTCCATGTAGTCCCCCACTCAGTTACTGCCAAACTGTAACTCTCCATTTCTTTTGGAGGATAAATTTTCTGTGATTCAAGGTCAGCTCTTCAAGCACTTTAAAAACCCTGCATGCAAAATAGATACAAGGCTACCTCGGTTTAAGAGTATGTATCTATGACAGGTGGCTGCATGTAATGAATCCCCCCACCAATGATGGCTATTCCAATATCCCAGCTCTATGTGAACAAGAGCTAGGACATACCAGTACTCTCCAACACTATGTCTGTGATTGCTATGCTATTAATGATTTCAGACCAAATAGTATGAGGTACTGTACTTTGAGCTCTTTAAGTACTTCATACACTAACAAATTTTGGAAGATATTTTTGTTCTCTACCCAGATTTTGTTAGTGCAGGCTAATAGATCAGCCTCGGAGTTCATATTCTCTTCCAACTACAGTACATTTATGATTAACCATCGTGTGAGATGGGGATATTAGATGAACTTACAGCTAGTTTTTGATCTGAACTCCAATCTTTCATAAAGAATAGGGTAGCAGCACATTGCTGTATGTACTTACTATTTTTAATAAAAAATAATTATAATTAAACATAAGGTTATATTTATCTTTATTTTTCTCCTCTTCAAACATTGGTACATTCCTTCCACTGTTGGATAACACTGATAGAAACCTAGAAAGCTTCATTACTAGTAATGCCTGAAAATCAGGGGCTGGTAGCAAAATTTGTCTTTTCCAGTCAGTAGGATCTAAATTGACCAGACCACACACTAGAAGGTGAAGGGACGATGACGTTTCGGTCCATCCTGGACCATTTTCAAGTCGATTGTGGATCTAAAAACTGTACTGGCATGACTTATAACACAGTGGCACCACGCACCTGCACATCACACACTAAACACAAGACTTTTTTGTGAGTTGTGTTGGGTTAGATCGTATTGGGTTTGTTTAGAATAGCAATGACATAGATGGGTACATACTTTTATCAAGTCTTGGACCCTACCCCTTGTAATGTATGGCAAAATCAAGTACTGTACAGTATTGTATTGTACAGTGTGACCTTGAAATGTGGCCTCCTACTGCTCCCTCCAGATCTCTTAATTTTCTGTAATTTTTTTTTAATCCATACTGGATTAGGGGGCTTCAAAAGGATATAACATTCCCATCCAATGGGTTCCAGCACACTGTGGAATACTGTACGCCTTAATAAACTTGTAAACCAAATAACAATACATTATACACTCATCTTACATCCTCCAATTCCCCATATTGCATGAAAACGAGCCTTTAAGGTTGCCACAACACAAGATTTTACTGGAAAATGCCATACTCTTTACTAACCCCAAGTCGATCGAATAAGAATTGGATTTTATAAGTTTTTTTTTCTTAGATCGGCCGGCTATCTAAGATTTACGGCTATTTACGGCACAGTTGCGGAACCCGTTAGCCGAGTGGGCCGTATATTTACGGTCCGGTTGCGTTAAAGTGTTATACTATATTGTATAACCATTAAAAAGAAATGGGAACCTTGGAAACACACCAAAGAAACGGACATAACAATGACCAGACTAAGGCTGGGATGCACCAAACTGGCAGCACACAGCTATAAATACAACTATAAAACTTTGCATCCACTACCGACAGGAGGCCTGGTCGACGACCGGGCCGCGGGGATGCTAAGCTCCAGAAGCACCTCAAGGTAACCATGTTCCAGAGACAATTGAACATTACCTCCATTGCATCACACATCATAGTGCCATAATTACTTTCAAACAAATACTTATCACCTGCAAAGTGCTTTTCAATATTGAGCATATACAATATTACAGGGAGGAGATTTATTACACCAATACAGTACTGTATATCAAATTGCCAAAGCATTGGCTAAATATCTCCAGTCAACCAAAAAATTAGTTCACATTTGACCTGTTCATACTGTATACCTCAAACCACCGGACATAGAAAAGCAACTCCTAACTACACATGCAACTGCTCCTGACCCAAGTAGCAATTGGGTTAACCCTGAGTTCCCACAATGGTCGCCCAAGTTAAAATCTGTGTTAACATTCAAAATTTCTCCGCATGATTACAAGATCTCCCCATGGTGCAGTGGTAAAACACTGACCTGACCTGACCTAACGTTAAAAAAACTTTGGAGTTTTGGTTTAATAAGTTATCAAGATGTTTTCAACAATATTCTTGGAGCATTCAGCGATTTTAACTTGGGCAGCCATTGTGGAAACGCAACACTTATGGGTTAACCCAATTGAAAATCTGGTCAGATTCTAACAGGGGTTCAACCATAAACATTGTGAACCATCTCCCAACATTACCACTCATAGTCATATAAACATTGTGAACCATCTCCCAACATTACCACTCATACAGTCATATAAACATTGTGAACCATCTCCCAACATTACCACTCATACAGTCATATAAACATTGTGAACCATCTCCTAACATTACCACTCATACAGTCATCAGTTGGATGAGCCCTTCATGCAAACTAGACATACCATAAAGAAAAAGGCTTAGCTATATAGTAAATGTATTACTATATAAATAACATAATGGTAAAATTACCAACTCACCTTTGAGATCACGGCGCCTTCAAATGTTAGTATTCACTACACAAGAACTAACACTCGTACAGTAATGCTATGGTCGCAGTGTTTAATTTGTGGGGTATAAATTATGTATATATATATATACACCCTCAACCAAAGCTCATTCACTATAAATATAAAATTATGTTTATAGTGCTGGGGCTATGTATTTGGTAAAGCAGACTAGGTACAGTACGGTACGGTATTTTCCATCTTAATTACAGCTCCTGATACAGTATTACAAACACCTTGCATTTATGGTCACTGGATCACACAGGCAATGTAATACACACACACAATAATACAGAGTCACTCAGGTCAGCTCGGCGGGTTGGTCAAGACTGAGGGGGAGCTACAAGTGCTGGCTTCGTCAGGGACTGGTCCAAGACTTGTACAGAGTCATCAGACTGAGTCAGCCACCATCCGGGATGATGATCCCGCCTCTTCCCTAGTAGTGCTCACTTACCATCACGGTTGCCACTTCTCAATTACTCAAAGTAGCGAGCTCAAGGTCTAAAAGTCGCGAATTTGTTATTAAAGTAGCCCAATATTTAGTTTAGCGACTGAGACGGTTCTTAAAATATTTTAATTAATTAATACATTTACATGATTTAATGGTTGTATTAATATTACTACTGAATGTATATAATAAAAAAAATCACTCCGGCTGCCTGTCGCCGACTCAATGAATTATTTAATTATTAATTTCCCAATATTTGCTGCATGAAGCATATATGTATCCGCGTGGTGATGAGGTGCAGGGCTGAGTCGTGAATTCTGAGGTTAGTACATAACCCTTGGAATACCTCATAAAGTTGGACAAGAGGATTCAAGTTCTAGACAACTTACCTATGGCAAACAGATGGGGTGTAATAGAGGGTGATACGTAAGGGAAAGAAAGTAATGAAGATGATGGAGAATCATCTAAGATGGAAAATGAACTCTCCACTAGTGATGAGTGTTCAACCCCGTGTGGGGGAAAAATGTTGAAACAAACGTTAAGGAAAAATGGTTTACATAATTAGAAGTTGAAGAAATGGTTAAGAATGGCATTATCTTTGTTATGGGTTGCACAAGTGTTGAGCAAGAAGAAATGTTAATTTGTTAGGAGTATGTGTCCAAGGCGCTATTACTTCTCAGTGAATACTCAGACAGCAGCAAAGTTAAGAATGAAAACTCGTCATGGAAGGAAATAAGAGGGAATAATTACATTTAGGTTACAGTCCCCCCATGGTGGTGTTAATAGTTTCTTTGGCAATGCAACACATTCTTGAAAGACGTCATATTTTGTAACATTAGAAAACAATGATTTCATATATGATCTATTATTATACTTTAACGTGCACTGGTTATTTCTTCTCACCTTTTGAGGAGAGGATTAATTCATTAGATCTCCGCCTCTCATTAATCTAATCGCCGAAACTGCATTTATATGTTGTTTAGTCTACCTTTACCAAAACAAGAAACTCCGGACGGGAGACATCTCCCGATGAAATTGTTTATGTAATAATCTAAGATGAGGTCTGATAAAGACCTTTTGTGCCCTCTGTAATGCTTTTGCGCTACCGCTCACAGGATGAGTATGGGGTGCACAATAAACTAGCCGCCTTCGGCGGCAACAATCAATCAAAAATCAATCCCGTCACGCAGGGTGCAGTCGCACCTCCACACCCACCAAACACACACATCAAAACTACGACGTTGGTACAACGTTCGAAGAAGTTTTAACACCACCTAACCAGTTATAACAATCAAATATATCAAGTTGTAACAACGTTCTAATACGTCATAAACACGTTTAACCAAGATGTAACAACTTTATTACAAGTTGTAACAAGCGAAAAATAGAGACAGTTTTGGTTTGTTTCCAGGGCAGATCTCCAGTATCATCTATTGATACTGGTAATGGCTCAAAAGGGCCACCACTTACGGGCTATTCATGCCCGTGCCACCTTTTGGGTGGCTTAATCTTTATCAATATTGGAGATGGTGGGCTTTAGTTACAACCGTTCTGCACTTCTGACCAACAAACAAACCAATGTTATGACCCAGGAAAAGCGTCAAAGTGCTCAACAAAGACACCATAAATTTCAGTGAGAGCTTGCGAAGAGTTTATGTCGCATTCCTGTACAGTAGTGATGATATTTCAAAAAGATGAAGCCTAGTCACTGGTATATATGTAGCCTTAACCACACACGGCCACCATTTTCTGAACTTTACATTAGTTCTAGCTGACCAATCTAAGCTTAGTGGAACTGAAAACTAGTAGCGTCTACTGTTAACCACTGACTGATCCAACATTTGTGAAATTCAAATATGTGCAGGGTCAGGTTGGACGAAAGCAATATTAATAATTGTCGGTAACGCTGTTAGAGCCCATGCTGATTGACCTCGCCGAGTTTGCATTAAAAATATACAGCTTACACTCAGAAAAGTACTGGTTGAACGGGTATTTTCGATACTGTGTAAACTAAACTGAGAAATCAGGGGACTAGACCTTTTGACATGACTCTTGAGAACCAGAACGTATACATCAAAAAGAAAAAAGGACTTGTTGCTCATTATTTCAACCACTTTATGTCTTTGCTAAAAAAATGATTCTGCAATATATGTTTTTATTTATATATACAAGAGTTCTTACATTCTCAGAAAGTCACTAGCAAGCATAGCGTTTCGGGCAGGTCGTTAATCTTAATTTAGCCTTGAATATGACCTGACAAACCGTTTAACAACCGGGTACCCATTCACTGCTGGGTGAACAGAGACCTAAAGTTAATGATAGGCGCATGGTTAATCCTCCCCCGGCCAGGATACAAACCCAGGCCAAATCCCTCGCGAAGCGCGGGGAGTGTTTTACCACTGCGCCACAGGGCCTGCACATCCAAGAATGAATTTGTAGATGCAGAAGAATTTAATAATAATAATAATGATAAACATTGTTCAACTGTGAAGTCGTCGAGGGACTCCACAGCCGTAATTGTGTTTCATGGTGAGAATATTGGTAAGTTAGGAGGCCTAGTCGACGACCGGGCCGCGGGGACGCTAAGCCCCGGAAGCACCTCAAGGTAACCACCTCAAGGTAAGTTATCCTATTACCGCATTTTTTTGTATTAAATGCACGCAATATCTGTCCAAAAGCAAGGGTCGACTTGCCGCAGAGTGTAACATGTGAACCATTACCACTGAGAGATAAACAAGTGGCACGCTGGCCCTAATACACATTGTGCATCATCACCAGAAAAAGGAGAGAGGCAGGGTTCAGGCAAGCTGGGAGGCTGTGGGTGGGAACACGGCAGGCTAGGTGGCCTGTGGTGTGGCAGCCCATGTGCCTGCCCATATGGGCTTGGTGGGTGGGCAGGCAGGTGGGTTGGTGGCACATGGGCTTGGTGGGTGGGCAGGCAGGTGGGTGGATGGCACATGGGCTTAATGGGTGGGTGGCACATGGGCTTGGTGGGTGGGCAGGCAGGTGGGTGGGCAAGCAGGTGGATGGGTGGGTGGCACGTGGGCTTGGTGGTGTGGGCAAACAGGTGGGTGGGTGTCACATGGGCTTGGTGGGTGGGCAAGCAGGTGGGTGGATGGCACATGGGCTTGATGGGTGGGTTGCGCATGGGCTTGGTGGGTGGGCAGGCAGGTGGGTGGGTGGGCAAGCGGGTGGGTGGCACATGGGCTTGGTGGTTGGTCAAGCAGGTGGGTGGGTGGCACATGGGCTTGGTGGGTGGGCAAGCAGGTGGGTGGGTGTCACATGGGCTTGGTGGGTGAGTAAGCAGGTGGGTGGGTGGCACATGGGCTTGGTGGGTGGGCAAGCAGGTGGGTAGGTGGCACATGGGCTTGATGGGTGGGCAAGCAGGTGGGTGGGTGGGTGGGTGGGTGGGTGGCACATGGTCTTGGTGGATGGGCAAGCAGGTGCGTGGGTGATGGCACATGGGCGTGGTGGGTGGGCAGGCAGGTGGGTGGGTGGCACATGGGCTTGGTGGGTGGACAGGCAGGTGGGTGGGTGGCACATGGGCTTGATGGGTGGGCAGGCAGGTGAGTGGGTGGCACATGGGCTTGGTGGGTGGACAAGGTGGGTGGGTGGGCAGGCAGGTGGGTGGGTGGCACATGGGCTTGGTGGGTGGGCAGGCAGGTGGGTGGGTGGCACATGGGCTTGATGGGTGGGCAGGCAGGTGGGTGGGTGGCACATGGGCTTGATGGGTGGGCAGGCAGGTGGGTGGGTGGCACATGGGCTTGATGGGTGGGTGGCACATTGGCTTGGTGGGTGGGCAGGCAGATGGTGGGTGGGTGGCACATGGGCTTGATGGGTAGGTGGGCAAGCAGATGGGTGGGTGGCACATGGGCTTGGTGGGTGGGCAGGCAGGTGGGTGGGTGGCACATGGGCTTGGTGGGTGGGCAGGCAGGTGGGTGGGTGGATGGCACATGGGCTTGGTGGGTGGGCAGGCAGGTGGGTGGGTGGGCAAGCAGATGGGTGGGTGGCACATGGGCTTGATGGGTGGGCAAGCAGGTGGGTGGCACATGGGCTTGGTGGGTGGGCGGGCAGGCAGATGGGTGGGTGGATGGCACATGGGATTGGTGGGTGAGCAGGCAGGTCAGGTGGGTGAGTGGGTGGGCAGGCAGGTGGGTGGGTGGATGGCACATGGGATTGGTGGGTGAGCAGGCAGGTCAGGCGGGTGAGTGGGTGGGCAGGCAGGTCAGGTGGGTGAGTGGGTGGGCAGGCAGGTCAGGTGGGTGAGTGGGTGGGCAGGCAGGTGGGTGGGGTGGGTGGATGGCACATGAGATTGGTGGGTTAGCAGGCAGGTCAGGTGGGTGAGTGGGTGGGCAGGCAGGTGGGTGGGTGGGTGGGCAGGCAGATGGGTGGGTGGATGGCACATGGGATTCGTGGGTGAGCAGGCAGGTGAGTGGGTGGGCAGGCAGGTGGGTGGGTGAGTGGGTGGGCAGGCAGGTGAGTGGGGGTGGGTGGATGGCACATGGGATTGGTGGGTGAGCAAGCAGGGGGTGGCACATGGGCTTGGTGGGTGGGTGGCACATGGGCTTGGTGAGTGGGCGGGCAGGCAGATGGGTGGGTGGATGGCACATGGGATTGGTGGGTGGGCAGGCAGGTGGGTGGGGTGGGTGGATGGCACATGAGATTGGTGGGTTAACAGGCAGGTCAGGTGGGTGAGTGGGTGGGCAGGCAGGTGAGTGGGGTGGGTGGATGGCACATGGGATTGGTGGGTGGGCATTTTCCGGGTGGGTGGGTGTGGGGAGGAGTGACTTGTGTACAGGTCTACTACTGTGGTGGTCGTCTCTCTGACCCTCTGGGTCGTGGCGCAGTTGTTTAATCATTATATATTTTTTTCTTTTTGCCGCGGAGAGCTAGTTACGAATATTAAAAACCACACCATACGATTTGAAAAGTAATTGGTTGGCTATTTATTCATTTAAATATTTAAAATAAAATAAAATGGGGGGTTTAACACGAGGCGCATATTATGGTGTCATCGTGCAGGGAGTGAGTGAGTTGTCATCACTTGTGGTAAGGGTTAGGAGGGAGGTATGGGTCGGGTTGCCACATGGGGCTACAAGTAGCCAATTGGGCTACTTTGGAAAGCCCAGCGCTCCCAAATTTTTAATTTAGCTACTTGCTACTTTTCACGCTAATTTAAAAAGCAAGTTGGACTAATTTGGGCTATTAATGTTGACAAAACTCATTGATGATTATTTATGTTTTTATAATGTGATGTGTACGAATCACAGGGGAGACATGGTAACTACTTACAAAATTCTCAGGGGAATTGACAGGGTGGACAAAGACAAACTCTTCAGCTCAGGTGGAACACGAACAAGGGGACACAGGTGGAAACTTAGTACCCAGATGAGCCACAGAGACGTTAGAAAGAATTTTTAAGTGTCAGATTAGTTAATAAATGGAATGCATTAGGAAGTGATGTGGTGGAGGCTGACTCCATACACAGTTTCAAATATAGGTATGATAAGAGCCCAGTAGGCTCAGGAACCTGTACACCAATTGATTGACAGTTGAGAGGCGGGACCAAAGAGCCAAAGCTCAACCCCCGCAAGCACAACTAGGTGAGTACAGCCACGTCCAACAGCCTGACTGATTAGACCACTTACCACAGGAGGCCTGGTCAGAGACCGGCCCCCTGGGGACGTTGATCCTAGGAACCTTTGGAAGAAAAAGTAACCGCACGGCAAGGTAATCCTCCCCAGGGGCCATAGATTTCCTGACCTTGTCATTAATACTTCATCCCAAAAGCTACAGCTGGTTCCTCAGATATTCATTAAGGGAAGAAAGTTATCTAGAAATTTATAAATTGATAAATGATAGGAAAGATCCCTTAGTTAATACCTTTGTCAGGAAAGCGATGGTTGGTAAGGAGCGGTAGTGTAAAGTGGCTGTTAGATCAGTGGCGTGATCGATCTCCCGTCACGCAGGGTGCAGTTGCACCTCCACAGATCTCCAGTATCATCTATTTGATACTGGCGATGGCTCAAAAGGGTCACCACTTACGGGCTATTGGAAAATGGCCGAGCGTACCAAATTACATGCTCTTACCCGTTAGAAAAGTGCTGTTATAATAATCAGGTATTCATCAGACTGTACTAAATCTGTTGTGTGATCTACATTATTATGAGTAGAAGGTTACTAGGAGCAGGCAAGAAGCATCGCTTGAACACAAAGTAGCATACTGTACACCACTAAGATCTTACCATTATTCTACAGGTATAGGCAAATCGTCCACCAGTCTCACCTGAATGAAAGAAAACACAAATAAAATATAAAGAAAGCTAAATCTTACCCCATAAGTCTTACATGTGAGTTACAGGCTTGTCAAGAGCCATACTGGTTTTACTCACACACTTACAGTCTTACAGAGGGAGGTCAGGTCACACGGAACTGAAGGATAATTCACCTTTATCTAGGTGGCAGTAGGGGGGGGGGTGAGAGAACGGTGACCTTGCTGCTTTAAGCATTCCAAGATAAACTTATAGAAGGTTGTGTGGCAATTGACTGAACGTAAATATACAAATTTGGGAAGGTTTGCGGGAGGCATCAAACTGAAGTAGACGAATGAAAACAAAATGGCCACCTCAATGACACTAATCTGCCAACATGTGAGACAAATTTCAAGGGATTTGCTGAGTTAGAGATAATAAATGTAGGTCTTATGGTCAGGTTAGTAAAAACTGAGCATGTGCTAAATAGTTATGAAGGAAAACTTGCATTTTGAAAGAAGCATTTCTCAACAGCAAGAGAATATTAACAACTTAACAATCAAGATAAAGGGGGCAGGAGTTGCATATCAAATAACTTGATAAAGATAATGAGATATGGAAATTAAAGGGGGGGGGTTGAATTTGAAGAAATCAACAGGGAAAATAGATACTGTATGTTGAGGAACTCGGACAATCTCTACAGGCTATTCTAGGCTAGAAAACAATATGGGTTAGGTAAAGACAGCCTTAGGGACATTTCATGAACAGGTCAAGTAGAGGAAATTATTCAGGGATTGCTGAAGTATAAAGCGGAAATGAAAGAAACATATGCACAGGTATCAAAAGAAAAAGAAACAATCAGAGAATTATGTTTGGGAGTCAAAAATAGGAATGTGGAACAAGAATTAAATATTAGGCAAGCAATTAGGAAGGAATGTGTCACAAGCAGTAAATTAGTACAAAACACTGTAGATACAAGTCCAAGATAATTTTTGGGTGCCTGGAAAAAGGAGTTTACATCTAGGATAGACAGAGCAGCAGCAGAGATTACAATCATTGATAAAATACTGTAGTAGGTAAATAAGTAGTACAGTAAGTAAAATAATAGTAAAAAATAAAAGGACAAGGCCTCACATCAAAGAAAAATGTCAGTGATTTTAGTAGGCTAGGAAAATATGAAAGACAAGAATCACCACTTAAAGGGTGACATTTAATGGAGTGAAAGACATGACAGAAATGCTTAGGAATGTCAGGAAATGATGAGGATGGAACTCTTCGGTCATTAAGATGAGACCTCTCAAAGGAAGACAGAAAAGCTAAAATTAACCCTCAATGGAGTGAAATTTCTAAATGAGAGTGGAATGAAGAAATTTTTTTGTACAAGGTGATAGGGCCTGGAAAGCTTGTGAAATGGTATATAAAAACAAACAAATACAATTACTAAAGGAAGTGGGAGTAAAAGACAAAGGGAGAGGGAACATGTTCGTAAAAACTGTATATACCAACATAAATAGAGATAAAAATATTGGAGCTAATCGATACTGTATACTGTAATTCAGCTCAAGGTCCTAGATATTGTCGCACTAGCGGAGACAAAACGTGAAGAAAATACTTTAGGTGAGATCATACTGTATTCCCAATGGGCTACTCAATTTGCAGACGTGACAGAAAATCTAGGCAAGGGGGAGGAGTGGCTGTGCTGGTGAAAGAACACCTGAATGTAAGAGAGTTTATAATTGACAATCCACGAGAAGCTGACATAATGGCACTGCAAGTTTGGAATCAGGATGATAAACTGATAATCGTAAATATGTACCTACAACCCACCAGCAAGCAACACATTGACAAAGGAATAACTAGATGACAAATGCGAGGGCCTCATAATGGTCATGAGAGATTATAGCAAGAGCACATAAAGATAAATCACGATTGTTGGTTCTGGGGGACTTCAACTTGAAAGCAATAGACTGAGAGGCCTGCGAAACAAGATAAAAAAAAACATTTGGACAGGCAGATTTGTAAACCTCATCCTGGAGACATTTATGTATCAAGACATTTGGTTCCTTTCACAAATAGTGGGGTAGACGGTTAGAACAAGTTAGGTGAGAAGGTGGTGGAGGCCAAAACTGTCAATATAGTTTCAAAGCATTATATGACAAAGAGTGCTGGGAAAAAGGGATATCACGAGCGTAGCTCTCATCCTATAACTATACTTAGGTAATTACATTAAGCAGGCCACGAGGATAAAGGAAGAGGATGCTTCGTCAATAAAAAAACCAGCGTTGAATGTAATGAAACGCCATTTTCTGGGTGAGTCCCGGAGGCTCCCCGGAGCTATCCCAGGCTGATATGCTAATGTCAGACTTTGGCATCAGTCATGTGTATGGAGTTCTTAGGCCTACCGGGGACCACGGCCAGAACCGGGCCCCCTCAGAGAGGCAAGGGGAGCAATGGCCTATAGAAGCCCCCGTGTAGTTGGAAGCATTCTATGTCTGCCATCGACCGGAACAGGCACCCAGAAAGGTAAGCGCCCCAAAACAAACCCCTATTCTGGTTAAAATTGCTACCTAAAACCGAACTAGTGGATAGAACTCCCCAACCGAAAACAAGCAAACTAGTGTGACGTCACACACTGCCGCGCCGCTGTCTGCGCAGCTCCCCCCTCCCCGGGAGGGGGAAGGGGGAGCCCCAGACCCCCCGCGCCGGCTACCCACACCTCAGTTCTTGAGGCTGGATGTCAAAAACGCGAAAAACCGCCGACCGGAGGGAGGGAGGGATGCCGGGGAGCCTCCGGGACTCACCCAGAAAATGGCGTTTCATTACATTCAACGCTGGTTTTCTGGGGGGAGCCCCGTCGGCTCCCCGGAGCTAACTACCCACAGACAGAAAAAGAGGGACTTACCCGGGAGGCGGTCGTCGCTCACCCCTCAACTCGAAGCCGAGACAACTGGCTGCAACCGCCGACCCAAAGCAACACAGGCCCGACGAGGCCCAGGGACATTCACAAGGTAACGAGCAGCCAGGACCCTGTTCGACCGCCAAAATCCCCGCGCCCGAATATCAGACCAAGACATATTCCCAAAGACGGCAGCAAGAGCCGCGAACTTACGAACGTCATGGGCACGGGGATAGACCGCAGGCTGGCTGGACCTAATAACCCTGCGGACGACCTGAGAGACCCGAACCCGCGAACAGGGAAGAAGGGAAACCGGATCAACCCACAGCGCGTCCCCGGACACAGAAGCTGTGGCGCGCAAATAACGGCGAAGCGCCGCAACCGGACACAAAACATGATGCACCCCCGGCCTGACCAACCAAGCATCAACCACCCATGGACCCCTCCGGAACGCAGCAGTCTCATTCTTCGCCAGAAAAGAACGGCTGCAAACGAACGGAGCAGAAACCCCTGCCGGAGGAGAGCATGAAGCTCCCCTACCCGACCCCCAGAGGCCAAAGCCAACAAGGAAAGTGCCTTGGAAAAACAATCCTGGACCGAAGGGGCGACCAAAAGAGCAGAAAGGGGAAGGACGAGGAGGTGCGGACTGAACCAGGATCGAAGCGACCCCCACCCCCAAGTCCGGGTCTCGAAAAGCAAAGCGGGGCAGCCCCGGGGCATCCGGGGAAGCAACCAACCGAGCGCGTTGCAACAGACGAAACCTAGACTGCAACGCACGTGCCGCCTGTACCCGAATAGAATCATCAGAGGATTGGGTAAATTGAGTCACAAGCAAGCAGCAACACTCACAGGACTCAGGGTCGAAAGTATCACCGACCCAACAGGCAGCGTGGCAGAGGCAAAAACAATGAGGGTCACCCTGAGACAAGGGGACCGAGCAACCCTCAAACTCGCACACAGCGAGTGGGGACTCCGGGGTCACATCCATCGGACCCACGCGCCCCCTAGGGGATTCCCAGGGTCCTGAGCGTTTACTTTAAGAGGACTCGCGCTCAGGTAGTCCCAGGCAGGGTGCTGCAAACCGGCGCCCAAAACTACCAAGCAAACTTCTAAAGCTGAACCCCAGGGACGTGTACACTCACGGGGACCTAGCAGGGGGCGCCACCGAGGAGAACAGTGGAAGGGCAAAAACAAACTGAATAAAATGACAGAACCCCCCACCAGGCAAAAACAAAAAGAAAAACAAAACCCCGCAAGAGGACAGCGAACCCCAAGGAACAGAGCCGGCCGCGATGTCGGGAAATACAAGCTGAGCAGCACCCTGCGCCCCTACCAGTGCAAACTGCCTCTTACCTGCCGGTAACAAGGGAGAACAGAACACCCAAGAGCCCAACAGGCGGCCGAAAAACCGAAAGGTAAAACGGACCAGCAGAGGCAGACCCCGAGGAGCCTGTGGAAGGTGGCCCCAAGCCCCAAGGGCAGTACTTACAGGGCACCTAGGGAAGGCAGCCCTAGGCGCATGCAGCCCGAGTACTGAAGATAACTCCTGGCTCTCGCACCCACAAAACTAACACCACACGCAAAGCACAGTGCAGTAGCGACACCGGAGCCAGAGCACACGACCATCGCCTATAGCATCAGCCTCAAGAACTGAGGTGTGGGTAGCCGGCACGGGGGGTCTGGGGCTCCCCCTTCCCCCTCCCGGGGAGGGGGGAGCTGCGCAGACAGCGGCGCGGCAGTGTGTGACGTCACACTAGTTTGCTTGTTTTCGGTTGGGGAGTTCTATCCACTAGTTCGGTTTTAGGTAGCAATTTTAACCAGAATAGGGGTTTGTTTTGGGGCGCTTACCTTTCTGGGTGCCTGTTCCGGTCGATGGCAGACATAGAATGCTTCCAACTACACGGGGGCTTCTATAGGCCATTGCTCCCCTTGCCTCTCTGAGGGGGCCCGGTTCTGGCCGTGGTCCCCGGTAGGCCTAAGAACTCCATACACATGACTGATGCCAAAGTCTGACATTAGCATATCAGCCTGGGATAGCTCCGGGGAGCCGACGGGGCTCCCCCCAGAAAAAACAAACCAGCACCACAAACAAGCAATAAATAAATACACAGCAATGAGGAGAGAGGTAGAAAGGGACTT